AACCACCCTTTTGTAAAGTTTATTGATAACGTTCTATAAATGGCTAATACATATATAGATATATAGATATAAACATTTCCCGCAGCTTGGTTCCGCTCATTCTCTTCTTGTCATTGATCATATCATATCTGTATACGTGTCAAAAATGCATTAATATGTTGCCAACGATAATAACCATAATCTGTATGAAGTCATTAAGGTGTCATCTGTGACGTAATATACATCAAAAATATTCCATTCTTCTTTTACAGTTGTTGGCACTGGGTCAATCATGGTATGCAAACAATAAACAGCTGTCATAAAATCTTTTGAACTTCATACTGCACGTTATATGATAAAACTTACAGAAAGGCCCTGAGTAAATTGATAACAATAATCTTTTTATGATTTCAAAGGTTAGGTTTGCTCTTTTTCCTTTTGGGATTTTTCGGTCTTTATAGTTATCTTGCTCTGTTTTATCTTCATTTGCATTCTTCCTCAATGTAAAATTGGAACAGTTTATTGATCATGACATTATTGGACAAGTATTTAACACATTTTACATAATGGTACAGTGATCATGATAACAAGTATGTTGTCTTGGTGTCAAACGTAACGCCATACCTATCTGAGGTCAAAGTTGAAATACATAATTGGTATTTCCTTTTTGAAAATAGGATAAAAATGAAATTCATATTGAATAATCTAGATAATGTATTCGTATAACAGAATATATTGATTGCAAATAGCTATGTAATATCATTCACGTGAAAAATATACGATATTAAACTTGAAATTATTAAGTATGATATCCGCTATATATTGGATTGATAAAATGTTAAAATCAGTACACTTCTTAACAAAACCTGAAGTTGTCTCTATTTGGATAGATATGAAAAGCACAAAAGCGCTAAAGACAAACCTCCTCCACACGATCACATATCTGGTAATAGAGTATCTCTAATTCATTCCAGAAGCCGAGTTGTTTTATTATCTGCTGTAACTCAGCGACTTCCTTCTTCTTTTTCTCTCCACCCCTTGGTCCGTGTTTTGGTCTAAAATTTCAGTCAAATGAGAATATTTAAAGTACTCGTAATCATTTTGTAATGATTACTACCCAATAGATATATACTAATTTGGTGACGGACACTGATAGGTAAGAAAAGCAACTTATGTTCGGTATGCATTGTTAAGAGCATTTGCATATCGCCAAATATTCCTAATCTGACAGCAAGGTAATGTTGATAATTATTTAATAAAGGGTCCAATAAATATATGTTTGATTTCCTTGCTTTAACCAATGGATTGAGGTATTTTAAGCACTCTTACATTGGTAAGTAAGGCATACCTCCCTACACAATCGTTGCAAGTATACGTATGTTGACTACCTGAATAGGTAGATAAACGTTCACTGATTTACACGAGTCATTACCACATACCCAGTTTATGAAATAAGATCAACAGATGCTAGTGTATACTAAAGAACCAAAAATAGTATTTATGACACTGGGATCATAAATTTCTAGCAAACCTGCTCTAACCTCGAACTCATGATCTCCAATTCAAAATCGTCAAACGGTGATCTCAACCAATACCATATATCACTTACTTTGTGTTTCCAGATCCCATTGATAACGTTAGACGTTAAATGAAGACGTCTGGTCTCTTTATTTCTCAAATATTTGTATCCTAGAGACAAGAAAAATATCAAATTAATCGAGACACACTTCTCATGTTATTCTAAAAATAGAGTTTATAAATCATCAATAAACATGTACTAGATTTACAATTACGAATGTATCTGATACAAGAGCCGATGGATCTCTAATAAACATGACACTGCTTTTTAAAAGAAAAGTTTTCTAGAGCCTATCAAGCAACTTTAATAACAAAACCTTTGAATATTTAACTTTAGTTTCCGTGTCTAGATAATACTTACATTGTAATCATCTGGTCTCTTTCATTATTGGTATTCGATTCACACCGTACATGGACAGTTATGTTTAAACCGACAATAAGTATATACCTTAAACAGAATGACAACGTGAACTCGTGGACGTCACAATGTCATTGTTCTCCAATATTTGTGATCAGCGAGCCAGGCTAATGTACTGATGTAGAGCCGATAACACGGGGGCATACTGTCTGAACTTTGCAGTCTTTAAATATACCTGCCTTCAGTTACATGCTATACCGCGGTGCTGTTAACTATCTGGTTTAATATTGTCCTGTAACTGGATCTTTTAAAATCTTTTGTGCATGGTCCAACAGTAAATACTTTATTGTTAATCATACGTAGAAGGAAAACGTTTTTCAGAACATTTTTTCATGATTGAAAAGTACGAGGCAAAATAGGAAAGAATTAATTGGATAACCATTGCCATTTAAAAATTATGATTTACAACGTTATATATTTTTGTTTTGTATTATACTATAAACCATTGGCGTGCCACGTCTGAAGTCTTGGTTTCCTTTATCACTGAATAAACCTCATCGCTGATCAATGTAACAAGATTTCAGAATCTTAATATCGACATATCGATCGGCGGATCACCCACAGCAACACTGGAAGTTAGAATTTCACAAAGTAACTATTTAACTAATCCATTTAACACCGTATTTTGTCGTTTAAACTAGTTATTTATCAAATGCTTATGTTTTTCAACATATGTAAAAATATTGGGTTATAGATACCAAGGTTCCATTTTCTACTTTTACAAAAATTCAAGTGGTTAAATATTGATATTGTTACTATCTAATCCAATCTTTATAAAGGTTTTATACAGAAACTGTAGAGAAATAATTAAACAGGGGAAAATACCTTTTACAAAGTATATAGAAAATGATGATCATTATATGACATACCGAACTCTCAATTGTTTACATATATTTCCCTTAATAAGAATCATTGTTCATAGATTTAACATATTTCAAAGAATTAGCGAAAGTTATATACATTTTTATTTTGTTGTTACATTGACCAGTCGGAGTCAGCATCAAGATATCTCCTAGATGATTGCAGTATATCACATCAAATAGTTCGGTTCAATAAACAGTTAACAATATACGGTGACATATGTTTGATTCAAACAAAGTCAGGCGTGGTTTTAATCGGTCTGAACAAGTGCATAATATAACAACAGATGATTGTTTCGTATATAATTCAAACCACATGCGGATATATCTTGAGGTGCATTAATAAGTAAAAACCTATTGATTAACGGAAGGAAAAAGATTACACGCCATCACATGGAATTATAAAGTACTATGTACCGAGATTTTCAGCATAAAACCAGCACTTTGTACCACCAAATGGAGTCGATGATAATCCGTCGTGCAAGAATACACAATGTCCTTTAGGATTGTCCTGGTGACTAAAGAGAAAAGAATGTTTTATCAACAATGAAATAATAATTACAGTAACTAAAATAAAAGAATAACAAATAAAAAACACAGGAACATCAAAATAGAAAACACGATTTTTACAACAGAAAATACCAATATTACCAGATTTTCGATGTTGGCGAGAGCCATCATATCAGTTACAAACCCGAGAGCCGTTTGACCCATTGTTGATTGGTTTTCAAAAAGCTCGTATCCGGGATTTAGATGTGTCATACCTTTATACATGAACATATCGACCTGTCCATGGCAGACTTATCACTTTTGGAATCGTCAGCATTTCTTGTTATTTTTTCATGCTTGAGTTGTGATTGCAGTTAACATAAATGGTGCTATCAGATACATTCTTATTTTCCTACTAAGTATGTTTTCCCTGTTTCATTTTCCCTTCTACAAAAAATGCAAAATAGCTCGGCGTCAGTGGAAACAAGTGGCAAGAGTAGTTCCTAAGGATATAGCATAGTATCGATCTAGCCAATACTGCATTTCACATTTTTTTATTTCTGATTTTGCTCCCTATTTTTTCTCAAAATTTCCAGATGAAATTTAAGATTCCCAAGAAGAATTGTGTTATTTACAACTTATCATTTTATAAATATTCTGACATCTATCCACAAATGAGGATCAACATAGAAAAGTATGTAACGATTTTGAATCTTCTTATTCTGGGCGTGTTTACAATATATGTTATTCTGCTAGAATTTCTCATTTTCAATATGCATTTTTAAAGATACCACTAAGACGTGACTGACTATAGGTATAATACCATTGTAATCCTCCTTAACATGACTAGTTAATGCTGATACAGGTGTACACAGGTGTCCATATACGTAATACATGTGGGATGGACACAGGGAATAAGACTTTACATGAAACAGTTGAGGCATCACATCATCAGAAGCCTCTAGCTAGGTACAGACATGAACGCGTTTTTGCTGGTGTCTTTATGTTTTATTTTATTTGGATTTACCTTAACGACGGGTGAGTTTTCGGCAGTGTATATGATCATTCAACGTATTCTCAAAGGGTTGAATATTAGTATAAAAGTATTTGGCATATCGATGAAAATATTATGTAATCGGTCATTTCATATTTAGAGCAATGTATACTCTGTTTCCGCCATTTGTCCATTACGGAATATCCATTCATTAACCTTACATTGTTGGTTAGACCTTGTATTGCAATTGAATCCCCTTGTCTTTTCCTTATTAAGTGTGTTGTAATGTAACCAAACCTGTTGGTCAATCCGTTTTTCATCATTGCAATATGACTATAGTAACATATATCAACGTACGTATTGTAACTATAAATGATTTATAATATCAGACTAGTTGTTAATTAAGAAAACTACTGATTTAATGCTAAACAATATTTCATCGTTTAAAAGTTTAGTACGCAACACAGCGTATATCGTATAACCAATTTCAGGAGTTGTTTAAGAATAGACTCTTCATCACATGACCTAATTGGATGTAAGTAACGTATAGGGGATTGTACAAGTGTTATTCTCTTTTTTTCAAGACGCTAAAAAGGCGTGTAAAGAAGTGGCATGTAGCAGTTGGTCATACAAGTACGCCACCTGTCGAGTAGAAAATGCACCAGGGGACATAATATCAGTGATGGTTGCGAGAAGAGATTCAAGGTCTGCTTGTTTGTATCGTCGATCATTTGGTTTCTTTCCAAGAGGGCGAAGTATTTGGGTTAAAGCAGGATGCAGGGCACGATTCCAGGTGTGCTTCCGAGTAATGACCGAAGGTAGGGCAAATAACGCTAATTGTTTAAGATCCAATAATTCCCCGTGTCTCTAGGGCAACGGACAATGTAAATCAAAGCATACAATGTAACACAATAAAACTGCATGCCAGTTGATAAAATAAGTCATTATTATCCCTGATCTTATTTTGTTGAAATAAGGATCCCTTAATATACAATTTTTTTCTAAAGTTTCTGTTCCAATTTGTTCCATTTCAGCTTGTAGATACGGCTGCGGTAAAAATGCTGAATGCGTAGCTGGGAAGTGTGTATGCAGGAAAGGTTTTGTTGGAAATCCTAACAAAGCTTGTGAAGGTATGAAATGCACTTATTTATCTGAGAGTCGCTTGTTTCGCTATGTTTCCACGTTTTGAGATAAGGCCGATTTAAAAGCGGTTTTAAAGGATTTCCATTGAAATTTTAAGAGCCTTATGAACGACAGCTGTATTAATATTTTTTGTTAAATCTTACTTAACTGATCTGAATATCAATCTTAATCTGGATGAAAATCATTTTCTGTATATAGGCCCTCATGAAGTCAACTGTACACAGCTCTTAGAAGGCAAACGTATTTAAGGTGTAAAAGCAATACTCAGTAAGTTAATGTTTCACTTTTGATTTCATTGTTTAAGATTCCTGTACCTGTACTGTTTCCGGCGATCCGCATTTCCGGACGTTCGACAGACAAATGATACATTTTCAGGGCGTCTGTAAATACACTCTAGTAAAGGTCAAAAACGTAAATGACCTGTGCTATTTTAACGTTGAGGTCAAAAATGAGCGGCGAGGGAAGAACAAAAGGGTCTCCTTTGCGCGATTGGTCGATGTCAGTATGTACGGCTTCAAAGTCAGACTTCATTTTAACAAAGTTGTTTACGTGAGTTTTGCTTTTTTACATCAATTGCTATTTCCTCCCTGGCATGCTTAAGTGCAATCATTAGGAAAAAAACATAAAAGATGTCATGCGAGGCAAAAATGTTAATAGTTCCAGCTAAATTAATCCTTAATTATTCATTTATATCTCTATTACTTATTTCTTTTCTACAAATGGTCACATTAAGAAAAACAGGCATAAAACTATTCTACACGTGTTACTTACATTTCATTATGTGTTGGCATAGTACTCGTGAATATGTCTTAATGGTTTGCAGGTAAATGGTAAAAGAAAGTACCTCCCCATTTCGTTAGAGTCCGGTAACATTAATATCTATAACGCCGGTAAATATGTCCGCGTCACGACAAAATGTGGCCTTACTGTCGCCTGGGACGGAAGGTCACAAGTTTATGTTCAAATGCCGAGGAGTTTTGGACCGAAGGTATATGGACTCTGTGGGAACTGCAACGGCATCAAAGATGACTACAGAACAAGCACGGGCGAAGATGTGTCCGCTAAACCAAATAAGTATCAGTTGATTGGACAGAGCTACCAAGTCAAGGATGGTTCTGACCAATCATCCGAAAGGTAACAGAATATTCGAAGATCAGTCCAATATTAATACAATGTGTCTTTCCCTAATACTATTCCAAAAGAATTCATTAAACGTTGATGGTGTAAATGTGATCACGTCTTGTTACAGAGTTTGTTGCATTCGTTTCTGAAATATCATTCCGGTTTCATTAATATTGACATATTCTTTCAAACATCACGGTGATCTTTATTTCTTAACTAGTGACATTAGTTATAAATGATCTAATCTGTCTTTTGTCGTTTTCTCGTATTAAGAACAGTCCTAAAATATGATGCAAATTCAACCTTATGAGAGAGAACATGTGTTTTCAAACTTAAAATTTCCTCTGTATGTTTTCAAAGAAAAGCAACTAATATAAACTGCAAAATATAAATACACATAATTCACCTTGGTCTACAGCTGTAAGACAGAAGAAATTGACCAAGAAATCTGTCCTGAAGTCATGATATCTAAGATCGATGAAAGCCGGTACTGCGGGTACCTTAACCCAAAACTTGGTCATTTGAGTCCGTTCCGAGAGTGCATGGCGTTTTATCCTACCGTTGCACAGGAAATGTACGAGTCATGCAGGTATGATGTGTGCTCTTTCTACACTGACCAGACACGGATCAAAGAGGTCGTATGTAACATACTTGAAGGGCTGGCTACGGAATGCGAGTCTCACGGGATTCACAGTGCCTGGCGAAAACCAGAGTTGTGTGGTGAGCTTAAATTTGCATAACTTTCAGCTTCTAAGTGTAGACAATCAAATGGCTAAAATATTTAGATATTTTTGATAACAAAGCTACAACTCGTGACTTTTGTCAGATAGTAAGACGCATCAATTGGCACAAACTTGCGATTTGGTAACATTGATCGACACAAATGCAGCAGTATGTTAGTGAAATAATGGTAGTTATAAGGGTTGGCCCTAATATTATGCGATCCAACAATTCCATCTGACATAACGAATCCACTAATTTGACCAGATATAACCTGTCCCGCCAACATGGTATACAGTTATTCTGTTAGCGGATGTCCAGCAACCTGTCTCGACAAGGACCCAGATTCTGCAGCTTGTCACGTACCACGGACAGAAGGATGCACATGCAAGGAAGGGTTCGTACTCAGTGGAGATAACTGTGTACATGCGTCTCAGTGTGGCTGCTCGTCGCCTCAAGGATATCTACCAGTTAGTAGCAATGGTCTTCCAAAGATAAAATGATTGATATAATGCATTGTCCTGTATAAATTTAACACTGCCATATCAAATATATTTATAAATCAATGAGTCGGCCTTACACTAAATATTTTTAAAATTAGCACTTTTTCCCCTGTTTTTTAGTACCTTTGAACAGTATGTAAAAACTGCAAGGAACAATGATGTTTTGAATGATAAACCTTTTAGAAAGTAACAGCAAGAATGTATATATGTATGATAAAAAGTATACATTCACTTGATTCTGTTTCTCTTTCGGCTATATTGATGCTACAAGAAAAGTTGCAGATGTACAATGTAGTACATTTGTGACCAGCATATGCTAAGTTGTCTAGTATCATAAAATGATGATAAGATGTGTTAATGTCATGACAGTTAAATAAGAAGATAACCAGCGCTGACTGCCGATTTATATCGGCGTGTACCCTGGTGGCCGGGAAGCCACTTCTTCAGCAGGCATCTAACCCTTTAAAGTGTCACCAATACGCCACTTGTGGTGTTCTAAACGGTCTGCCTCACTGTTTGTGTAAAGATGGCTACTTTGGGGACGGCGTCAATGACTGTGAACGTAAGTGCCTTAACAATATTTTTTTCTTTTTGGTGTATCTTAGGTAATCATTGATTCCAAAAGAAACTATCTGTCAGACGCATATACATACATGACTGACTATACCCTTTTTGCGTTTCAAGCTTTGTGCAATGGAAAGAAATGTGCTCTATATGCCACGTGTGTACATGGAAGGTGTATATGTGACGCCGGATATCATGGAAACGGTTACTCTAAATGCGAAGGTAAGGTTCGGTTCTAATGATACAACTCAGAAAATCAATACAATAGGCCAAATATGCCTTTTTCTAGAAAAAATATTCAATAAGACAATAAAACTTCATTCTCGGGTTGGTTTACAGTTATTGGAGTTTGTGGTGGAAAGACTTGTTGTGCCAATACAGTCTGTGTCAATTACAACTGTATCTGCAGGAACGGATACACTGGCGATGGGTACAAACTCTGTTCACGTACGTTTTCATCGACGTTTGATTATGATTATCAATTCGCTTTCATTAATCTTTATATAATGATATCTTCACCCGACAAGTCTTTAATTGTTCCAATAATACTTAAGCGAAATAGCTTATACATTCATAATTATCATAGAAGATGTTCCACTTTCAAAGAAACTAATTTACGCAAATTTATTGGAGAGTAGAAACTAAATGCCACTGGGATAAAACAAAGAAATGTAGCTTTACGAATCCAGCGACTTAGCTTCAGAAGCACTCTATAAGGAAAAGGGTATTTTCATTTTGCATGAAATACACAATACTTACTTTCTCTTTAGCATTGTGTGATGGAAAACGGTGCACTGCCAACGCCTCATGTCAGTTGCAAAAATGCCAATGCGATCCTGGTTTTCATGGGAACGGTTATTATAAATGCGAGCGTAAGTATTATGATCGCTATATGATTGTTCAAAATAGCGAAGGAATTAAAATGGCACATTACATTCAAACCAAAGGTAGATTTGAAGTTGTTCTACTAGATTAATTGAAGATTCGAAATCGTATACATATTCATTCTTAGTCACAGGAATACTTGTTTCTTATTCGTGATGGATGCATTTATTTCAAAGCCCTCATTTTTACTTTGCTTATGAAGCTCTTTCTGTGTGTGGAACTAAGCAGTGTACAGCAGGTGCCGAATGTCTTAATTTCCAGTGCGTCTGTAAAAACGGATACTTTGGGGATGGATACAAGAATTGTCAAGGTAAGCACACATAAATCTCGGAGATTTCTTAATGACGCTGTCATTATCATTTTGTTGTTGTTATAATACCAGTACGTACTACGAACAGCACAATTATCTCTGTCGATGAGAATAAAGTAAAGTCTACATGACTTGTTGTATTTATTGTATTCTCGAACATTTTGGAACTCGATGAGTATACGCTTTACTGATCATAATTACCATTCTCGACCACTGATTGTCTATTAACCATATTAATTCAGATATAAATCATATTGTCAAGAAAATAAAATTGATTTGCATTAGTTATGGAAAGATAAGTAAAGTGAAGATTTATACTACAATATTTTCATTGTTGCAGTGTATATATTGATATTTTGATTCAACTATAAATTTAAACAGTTACTTCAAGGATATTATTGATAATACTGTCATCAATTATCTACATTTCATTTTCCTTTTTTTAAACATGTTTACGTAGAACTCTGTGATGGTAAACGATGTGTTGACAACGCGCTTTGCCACAATGGGAAATGTAAATGTAAAGAAGGCTACCATGGCAACGGATATCACCAATGCGACAGTATGTAATTAATTCCTACTAACGAGTGTATTCGATAAAGCTGAACACGCTTACCCTTCCGGAACACCTGACATAAAGTTCCTTGTACTTCTGCAGAGATCTCCGTGAAATGCTATCTTAGGTTATATTTTGGATTTGAAGTTTGATTACAGATTTTTTGTTTACAAGTTGATATTTGATTTCCCATTATTATCTAATTGTACAAAGATTTACATGCATGCCTCCTCATTTGCTGTCGTTTAGGTCTCTATATGTCCTTTTGCTATTCATGGTTGATTATTTCACGTGTTATTCAAATGTTGTTGAAGACATTCATTATAATAAAATAACTCATTGTTTATATACCTTTCTTGTCAGAATATTAGGACGTTATATATATGATTTTTGAACGAGACATGACGAAGTGTATATAATGATGGCGTTATGTAAAACTATAATATTCGTACAACTCTTAGCGTTATACATACATATTGCTGAAACTGAAATCAATACAAGGCTTCGATAACACCCTTGTTAGACTTTGACTCCAAAATATCAATTCCAACAGGGTTGGGAGTCTGCGATAACAAAGTATGCTGCCAAAATGCAGAGTGTGTCAACTATCAGTGTGTTTGCAAGTCTGGATATTATGGCGACGGGTACGACGACTGTATTGGTGAGTACCGGTATTGTTTTGATTAAAACTGCCGTTAAAACTGAGTTTACTTTGTTGTGATCTCGAAAACGCTGAAATCGGTAATACAGACATATTTGTGGTAACCTTAAAATCGTTTGTATTTTCGAAGAAAGTACTGTTATTTTTATTGGAGTGTTGTCTTTGTAGAACTTTGTAATAGTAAAAAGTGCGCAGAAAATGCCATTTGCCAAAATGGCAAATGCGAATGCGAAGACGGTTACCATGGAGACGGATTCATAAAATGTGAACGTAAGTTAAATATTTAATCAAGACATGTCAATTATATTTTACAATAACAATGAAAATTGTTATTCAAATATGAATGAGTCTCCTTTTTTTCATTAAAAATCTGATTTTAACATTTATTTCATTTTTGTCATCGCTCTCAATACCGATCTCATGGATCCCTATTACAGCTGAGTCAACCTGTGGAGGGAAAACGTGTGTAACGAATGCCGTGTGCATCAACTTCCAGTGTCATTGCCGACCGGGTTTCTATGGTGATGGATACGTCGGATGTAAACGTACGTTCGCTATAAGCAACATAACTTTGCATAATGCTTATATCTATCAATAGAATAATTCTACAGAATGCTTTGCAGATTAATATTTCGAATCATTATATAAAAAAGGGTAAGTCCAGTTGCCTGATTTTCGGTTTACTCGCTCTACTTCTAAACCCGTTTCCCTTAGTCGCCTAACTTTGATTGGACATTGTTCAATTTTATATGTCAGTGTTATTCCTTATTGTTAATAGAAGTGGATTTCTGTGTAGCAAGATATACCACTAACCAATAGAATTTGCTTTCTTATTTTTATTTTAGCAGCAGATTATAACTCATTTTATCAAAACGTATTCGAAATCTGTCAAAAATGTATCAACATATAGATACAAAACGCATATAACTCTAATATTCCACAGGTCTTTGTGCTGGACGAATCTGTGTAGACTACTCATACTGCTTCCGAGACAAGTGTATCTGTCAGGACAGCTACCATGGCAACGGCTATATCCAATGTGAACGTATGTCAAGGTCATGTTCATGTGGTAGCAATATTATCTATTATATCACTTTTCGATTATACATTTCACACATTAACAACCTTTTATTGTGGTAATTAACTCAATGCAAACAATTCTAAAGTATATCATTTATATACTAATGCTGTATAGAAAAGTTCTACTTTGACGTTTTTTTCGAAACTGTTGAGATTCATGTTGGTTTTTTGCATACTACGTTCATAAAGCTTTGAAGCAGTGTGGTAACAAGACCTGTGTACTTAACGCCAAATGTATCAACTTTAACTGTGTCTGTAAGGATGGATATGTCGGAGATGGTTACAGGGAATGTGAATGTGAGTATGTATCCCTGTCCCCATAGATTTAAATCCCTATGTCCATGCTAAACACACTACCGCAAAATTTGAGTTTTTTAAAACAATATCCTGATTCGTGAATTTCAGTTGAGAGGTAAACAGGACATTATCTGAAATTTCTATTGTTTTTCCGTTTTGGATATCTTAAGTAAAACGGAATCAATACTTGTGAATATGTAGTATATAACTACAAAGAACTTTCAATTTTATCTACAGCATTATGTGATGGTAAACCATGTGCCGAGTTTGCAAGATGTCAGGGCGATGTTTGTAAATGTATGAATGGCTATCATGGAAATGGATACATAAAGTGCGAGCGTATGTATGATTTTCAACTAAATCGAAAGTTTTATCGTATACGTATCTTAGAAAAAACTGATTGAGTTAACACATGTTGCTGTAGTTCAGTGTTCAGTTAGATTCCTCTTCAATGAATGCTTCTTAATTAAATACTTACTCAATTTGTTTACTTACAAATTAATCGTTTGCGTATCACGAAAGATCATTATATCAATATTGATGTCCATTCCTCTTGTTATAACTAATTACTAATTGATGTAAAATAAACCAAAACATCAATTTATTTTAAAATTATTGATTTATGATAAACAGTTAAAGCACTTATGCATAAATATTTTATAACCCCAGCGGTGTATTTTTGTGGGTCGAGAAGGTGTGCTGTCAATGCGGAGTGCCGTAACTACCAATGTGTCTGTAAACCAGGTCACTATGGTAACGGATACAATCGATGTTCTCGTAAGTTAAAAACTAGATACAGTGTGCATCAGCATATTTGATCAAATAGATCTATAATAGTAAATGATTTAACACCAGTCGTACAATCTTTGCTACACTTCATAACCGGCCAGTTAAAATTACCTAATTGTATCTATGTATTAACTAACCTCTCCTTCCTTTCAAACTGACAGACATGTCCAATAGGGCAAAATATCTACCGTCAGTTTTCCTTTATTAAATTCTAGAGTCAGGCACATATCTACTATTATGGCAACGCTATTTTCCTTTGCTAGCGCTTTGTGACGAAAGGAAATGTGCCGATGACGCCGAATGTGAAAATGGTGTCTGCAAGTGTAGACAAGGCTACCATGGAAACCCACAGGTTAAATGTGAACGTAAGTTATTCAAAGTTTAGAATAATGATTGATAAAGTGAACGAATAAATCTTATCGATAATACATCTGATGTCTAATCAATATTACGTTCCGCTAATATAGCTAAACTTAATCAAGATATCAAATTTTATTTACATAGCAACGACTGAATGCGGCGGAAAGGTATGTGCTCAAGACGCCATTTGTGTTAATTACCACTGCACTTGTAAGCAAGGATACACCGGAAACGGCTACGTAAAATGTGTAGGTAGGTACATTTTCAACATGTGAAAATGCCTATCACTTCTTCTTGTCAAACAAGAGACTTGTTATGTTTCAAAATGTGGAATGTAATGATTTACCATTGCAAAATAACATTGATATTTTCAGACGGGTACACAAATTTATAAAAACCAGCAATAGATTTAAATAGATTTATATGAAAGAGAATATTTCATTAATCTCTCTCTCTCTCTCTCTCTCTCTCTCTCTCTCTCTCTCTCTCTCTCTCTCTCTCTTCTCTTGTTAAAATAAGTTATTATTTATTATACTAATTTTGTTATCCAGTTAAGCCATATTTGTATTCGTTGTACATATTTGAGGAGAGGGCTTAAATAATGTTGTAATAACTTGTGCCCGATCCTCTTGTCTGTTATTTTGGCAATAATATGTTTTAAACTAAATTCAACATGCAGTCAAACAATTGAGTAAAATGTGGAATTTAGGCCTATTGATATGCTCCTAGGTAAATAATTGCAACAGTATCAAATCTTCGGCACCGATCCAATAAATTGAGACAAAGATAGCTGTAAATATCGAAGTAAGAAAATATGAACGACCAAAAAATATGAATTCTTTAGATAACGATGCGGCACAATTTAACGCTGTCTCCTTGTTAGATGAATTTCAAACAAACATCCAACATAAAACATTTGTGTGTATAATCCGGTTTAAAACGTTCAGTTATACTAGTCATTTTTATTCATACAGGCCATCAAAGTATTGTTTCTTGATTTGCAGAGTTATGTGACGGAAAGTTATGTAAGCCGAATGCCTATTGCAAAAGTGGTGTGTGTACATGCAGTATTGGTTTACACGGAGATGGTGCCATCAAATGTGAACGTGAGAACAAATTAATGATTCGATTTTTTAAAACAAATTGTAGATTAATTTTATGAAAAATAACATTATGTTAACCTGACATATTTCTAACATTCCTATTGTTTATATTCATATCCATGTTTTTAAAGAAAAAAATCGGTTTCATGCAAAAACTATTATATATTACACTACTCTATTATGTGGTAAAGATTCCATGAGATTTTTTAAGTAACCGAGGAGAGACATTACAAACATATACGCAAAAGGATCAACAATAAAAACCGTGCGATGAGGTTTTTTTCTGCAGCACATATTATATTATGTTTTTACATCACTTATTGTAGTCTTCAAAATCTTCAAACGAATTTTAATAAATGCATGTACCAATATCAAAAAATCAAACATTGTCCGTCAGTTAACTTTCCCTTAATATGTCTATAAGCATAAAAATGTAAACGCAAGTTCCTATTTTAAAATGTTTTCTTTGAAAGCTCTCGGTACGTGTGGAGGAAAACGATGCAGCCAATATGCACACTGCTACAACTACAAATGTGTATGTGACGAAGGTTATACCGGAAATGGATATGAAAAATGCCATGGTTAGTTTTTTTTTCTTCCTGATATTACATAATAACACGTGATGTAATGATTAATGACTGTCCGGATAGATCGAAAGAAAAACGTTGTTGTTGTTGTTGTTGTTGTTGTTGTTGTTGTTGTTGTTGTTGTTGTTGTTGTTGTTGTCGTCGTCGTCGTCGTCGTCGTCATCGTCGTCGTTGTTGCTGCTGCTGCTGTTATTGTTGTTGTTGTTGTCGTCGTCGCTGCTGTCGTCGTCGTCATCGTCGTCGCTGTTGTTGTTGTTGTTGTTGTTGTTGTTGTTGTTGTTGTTGTTGTTGTTGTTGTTGTTGTTGTTGTTGTTGTTGTTGTTGTTGTTGTTTACTAGAATCGCCAAAGATATCTTGATGAATATGTATATCATTATAAAACTAATTCTTCTCTCTTCTCCAGTTCTTTGTGACGATCGTAGATGCGCCCAATATGCCTATTGTGACAATAACGAATGTGTCTGTCAGAATGGTTTCCATGGCAACCCATATATAAAGTGTGAACGTATGTATTACTTTGAAATTTTTAATAGACGTTATTAGATATGTTTTAAAAGTTGGCATTAAAAAACATAAGTCATATCTATGTGGATATATTTTACATTATCAGTGTACATACCTATTAACCTCTACGTTCAACAAGTATCAAATGATCACCTAGAATCGAGAAGAACATTTATCCGTAGATAACACTTTGGAATCAACTGTATAAGTAATTCTCTATCAATCTACTGTAGCTGAGAGAACGTGTGACGGGAAACTGTGTGCTCCATACGCTGAATGTAAGAACTATCAATGTGTGTGTAAGTCGGGTTACCTTGGAGATGGATATAGAAATTGCAAAGGTAAGCATAACAAAACAATACTTATGTCACGTCGTTGAATAAGATACCACTTTAAACTCTATTAAAGGAACCAAGACCATCCTCGTCCACTATATTTCTAAATCACAGTTACATTCAGATTCAAATTATGTTTTAATGAAATTTTATTACACAGACCGAAAATAGATGACATTGTGACAAAACAACTATCCTAGCAAGCACTCTAGCATTTAACATTTGATGCTGAAAGTGGAGTGTAATAAATGATAACCGAAATTTTCATTTTCATTGCTCAATGTACATTGTATCATATATTTCATTTTAGTGCAAAGCTACTTGTTAAGGTCTGGAGTTGAAATTAATGTTTTAATGGTCTGCTTGACAGCACTCTGTGGTACCAAGCAATGTCCGGATAATACTGTGTGTAGAAATGGAACATGTGTTTGCATTAGCGGCTTCCATGGCAACCCAAACATTCAGTGTGAACGTAAGTTTTATGGAATTGTAATTTTGTTGTACTAAACATCGTACCATGTGAAACGAGAAACATGATAATCGAACAGGAGCTTCGATATCACGGCAAAAACGTTAAAACAAGAGCTGTGAAAAAATTCTATTGACGTCACTTATACGTTTAGAATTTTACCCGGAAGGCATTTCACGACAATTTAAGATTTATTCATACCATGCAACAGCATCAAGCATTATTTTACATAAGAGTCGAATTAGTGAATCTGTTAATGAATTTCCTGCTTTCAACTGAACCTAATAATATTATGAGTATTTATCATGCATAAAACCAACAGCACGTGCTACCAGAAACTCTTAAGGAGGTATAAGGAGTTAGAGTATAAATTGTATGTCTTTATCCACCAATGACAGCCATGGGTGTGTGTGGAGGCAAAGTGTGTGACGAGTATGCCGAATGTGTCAACTATCGATGTCGATGTAACAAAGGCTACGTCGGCGATGGTTATCAATTGTGTGAAAGTAAGTAGTTAAGTACATTCCAATTAATGTGATCTTAACGACAGTAGCTTGGAGATATTATATTTTCGCATTTAAAATCGCATGTTCGATAACAGATATACAACTATATTTTCTGGTTTTGATATGTTATGTATTTCATCGGATCTTTTTCACTTTAATGTTAGTGGAGAGTTTTAATAAAAATAAATATTAAAAACGAAATCGATCCATGTTGTGAAAATGATATGGAAACTGTTTTACTACTATATTGATAAAGCCACTCTTAATAAATATGTGATAATATTGGTTAAAGTTTAGCGGTATACAAGTTGTTGCCATTGAAAATAATCAACTGTTCGTTTTTCATTATTTCTTTCACAAAAACAACCAAATATTCATTATCAATAAAACTGTCATTGCGAAAAACAATTTCACCATAAGAGTGAAAACACGAGCTTGAGGCTATTTTGTTTCCATGTTGTATATTAACACTTTATCCTTTATACTTAACAACTTGGGAAAAATTATAAACAACTTGTTGTTTGTTATCTTTATCAAGAGCTTTGTGGAAAAAGTAAATGCGTGGACAATGCGATCTGTCAAGGTGATAAGTGTGTCTGTTTGAATGGTTACCATGGAGACGGATACGTAAAATGTGAAGGTAACCCTGTTTTAGTTTTTAGTTTCATTATAGTTTCATTATAATTGGAATCAAATAAGGGTTTTATTATTCCGTGGAACTCATACGATTTTGAATACGAATGATTGTATTCTTAAGATAATGTATTATTAATGATAAGCTAAGAAACTGCCTCTATGACTTATTATGTGATATTAATGATAATATTGACTGAATTATACCATGACGTTGACTTCTAGGTGTAACGTAAATTGGCTCGCCCTGAATATAATGGATTACATTTTAGTAAAATTTCGACCGATGTTTGATATTTCAGGTGAGGGAACTTGTAATGGAATCACGTGCAGCGAGAATGCAGAGTGCATAAACTATCACTGCATATGTAAAAAGACGTTCTACGGCGATGGATATCACACTTGTAATCGTACGTGTTAAAACTGAAACGCAAAAGGCTAAGTTTATATTTTTCATTTCGGGCATATATAAACAACGGTATATTGGGGTCGTTTCAGTATTTGTTTAGAAAATGTGATATTAACAATCCGAATTAGTGATATCGTTCTACGAATTATTGGTGTCATTAATTAAAGTATTGATATTACTATTTATTGATATCAATCATTCACATTAATTTTATTGATAATTCTAATTAGTGATATCAATAATTCGTTTAATGCTATCAGAAATTCGATTTAATGTTGTCGATAAATGTATTTATGAATATCAATAATTCAAAATAATAAATGTCACTAAATGATTTGTTGATATCACTGATTCAAATTAATGATAACATTTATTCAAATTATTTATATATAATTCCTGAATTAAGTGAAATCACTAATTCAGATAAGTGTTTCGCATTTTGTAGATAGATACAAAAACGGCACCCAATAATAACAACACGATATTAGTTATAAAAACCCACGCTCCCAATAATGTATGTCTTTCTAGAAATTGTTTTTTTATTATTATTATTATTATTATTATTGTCTTTTTAGTACAATTTTAACTTATGGCTCTGAAAGTAATGATAACTAGATAACTATGATATGAGGAAGTACGTCCAATGCCTCTTCGTGAATTGACAAAAACATGATGTTGATACTTACATGTTGATACATATGCGTTAACGTACTATGTATTGCAGCGATTATTAAACACATGTAAATGTACTATGAACTAACCCGATCCAATTGGTAACTTTATCTGAGCAAATAAATAGTTAAAACATTGAAACATCAAATTGATTATCGATTGTCTTTTATTAAAGATTCCACCAAATGCAATTGACATGTACTATAAAGTTGGATAATGTGTATAGCATAGAATAAATGTCACTAGTGACATCGTGAAAGTGGAGAAGAATAAAGAATAGTAAAACGTCCCTATTTAAGAATATATTCCTTAGCTTTAAGATTAATCATTCTATGTTTTGGAAGTTCCTTAACTTTGGGAACAATCAGAAGGCATCAGGACACGGCTGCCTTTATATATGACAGTTGAATGTTTAAATCAAACCATCAAATCTCACTCGACAACCTGAAGACAATATAACCGTAATCCCTGATCCACGGTAAGAGGAACGGTTTGGCGTACTTCATAGAATTACTTTTATATAAATTGCGTTGCACAGCTTACTGTTCGGGACGAAAGTGTGGGGAGCATGCAACATGTCTAGAAGATCAATGTGTCTGCGAGACAGGATTTCAGGGCGATCCGTACATCAAATGCGAACGTAAGTTTAGTAATTTTTAATACTTTAATTCCTAAACTTTCCGCGGTTCCTCTTCCAACAGACATTCTTGATTTGAAGGGATCTCATATCTTCAAAGTGGTAAAGTATTACCCTTATCGTTTTTATTTGTTTTGTTTTCTCAAAAAAATATTTACAATATCTAATGTTTGTGCCTGACCATTTTCTTATTTGGGTTACATTAACTACTTTTCATTTGTTTTGAATAAGAGGATTACTTCAATATTTATTCACTAACATTCACTTATTTTCATAATAAGGATTTATAAATCACCAAAGTGACAACTAGAGGATATTAACGGAGACTAGGAAATATAAAATCATAATAACCGAGGATCGAGAAATTTGGTCATTCTCATTCTTGTACCAACTTATCGAATTATTTCAGCATTCGGAGTCTGCGACGGAATGCATTGTGCGGATTACACTGAGTGTCTCAACTACAAGTGCGTCTGTAAAAGAGGTTATATTGGTAATGGTTACGAGCGATGTAAACGTAAGTATGAAGGACCAATACAAATTATATCATACAGGTGGCAACTTTTGAAACTAGATGTATATCATAGACACGTGTATCACTGACGCAGATAAATGAGAATTATTATCAATCATATAACATAATAGCAGATGATATTTTTAGTAATATTGCATGTAGTCTGCTGAATGTGACATACAATATTTTGCTACCAGAGTAAAGATAATATTGGTATTCGCATGTGTTCATTTACATATATCTCTACATACTTTACAACAGCATTATGTGGAGGTAAAGAGTGTGTGCTGTACGCGCATTGTGAGAATAACACGTGCAGATGTAACAGCGGTTACCATGGCAACGGTTATGTCAGGTGTGAAAGTGAGTAACTAAATAGCAATATATTTTCATCTTCTGCAACACAAATGTAACGAATGTCTATCTATTCAAACAATCTATTAACTTCTTCATATCAAAAATTTTTATTACGTTTACCTAGATGAAATTAAGTGCAAATAACAACAAAAATGTATAGTATTTTCAAATTCAAACTAGGCTATTGAAATTACATTTATATCTAGTTACCAATAACAAAAGATAACTTTTGAATATAAAAGTGATTATAAAATGTTTCCTGATTGTAGTTATTATTTGAATTTACACAGCCAGTACAAAATGTGGAGGGAGGGAATGTAGTCCAAACGCTGTATGTACCAATTACCAATGTCACTGTCAGTTGGGATATTTCGGTGATGGTTACGAAAGGTGTACTGGTAAGCTTGTACATCACATAGAAAAGCCGACATTTTGTGAAGGGAAAACCAATACCCGAATACATCTTTATCTAATGAAAGTGTGTATTTTCTAATGCATGCGTCATTATTTCATGATGAACTAAATGAATTCGACATGTTGATGAACAATCTATTAATCATTCAATGAAAAAGTTGTGTATACCAAACTTCATGATATAGTTAATAAACGAAAATACCTTTAACTTATTCAATTTATTTAGAGGTAAATCATTGAACCAAAGTGCTTCAAAATTGAGAACATGAAAATATTTGACTCGCAAACATTACTTACTGACCAGTATCACGCTTCTTACTGCTCTGAAAACGCAGCTCTGTGTGGAGGTCGGAAATGTATGGAGTATGCACGGTGTCTTGATGGGAATTGTGTTTGCGATCCTGGATATCACGGTGATGCTCTCATCAAATGTGAACGTAAGCTATAGACCACTACTGTGTTATCAAAATAACAAACAAGAAAAAAATATGTTGATGCGGTTGCATTTCGTCGATTGAAATGGGTATGGCTACCATTCGGGTTATTTTGCCAGGCTATTTGCATATTGCTTTCACAAAACGCTGACCTTTTATTTTACAGCTAAAGGTTTCTGCGGTGGGCGAGTATGTGCGGATAACACAAGATGTGTTAATTACAAATGCCATTGTCTGGATGGTTATGCTGGGGATGCTCACCACAAATGTGACGGTAAAAAAATTATATCATAGATTCAGCTATTAAAATGTTCTAATACTAGAACAGCTGAACAAACATTAGAAAGACTTTTTCTTCATTGACGTCATCGATATATAAATAGTTTATTGTGTTCATCATCTTAGTCAAAACAATAAGCTAAGGGTTTTTTTTTTTAATATGGTATTGTTCAATTACACAATGACTCTGTCTATAAGTTCATATTAACAGATCTAACAATGTACATTAAATTATTAAGCAAAAAGAATAAAAAGTAGGTGCATGGAGCTAGTCCTACGGAAATATTAAACAAAAACAAAACGAAAGGGAGGATTTCTATCTTACATGTCGCACAATTTACACCTATTTTAGCGAACCTTTTAATCCGAATATTTTGGAGTGTTCATCATAAACACATTTTCATCAGAATAATTTTAGTTAGATATTTTTCTTTGGATCAACATGATGCGTTCCAAATTACTTCTTAAACATAAAAAAAATTGTGGCAAAACAACCTGTTTCTCGTATCAATTGGTACAATATAACAAATCAATTATTAAGAATGAAATGTACAGCTTGATTTCAACATTGTACTGTATATATCATAAAGCTGTACACTTATATGCTGACATTTCTAAACGAGATATTGAAGATGTATTGAAGTTTCACTGCACCATTAATAAGTCTTTATGTTTTGTTTCTTTTTTTTAGCTCTTTGTGATGGGAAGAAATGTGCCGAGTATGCTTATTGTGAAAATAAAAAATGCGTTTGCCAGTCCGGATATCACGGGGACGGTTTCATTAAATGCGAACGTAAGTATGTGTGTAATACATAATATGAGTTGTTCCGCTTGATATTATGCAAATTGTCGTAAAACTATGACACAGAAGCAATTGAATTCTATCGGTATATATACTTCGCTGGTGTTAAAGTAAAGTGCAGTTCCGGAGGGCATGGATTATCATAGCTCATTTAACTCTATAAACCCATCCCAGCACATGACTTGCTTTTTTTTTTGCTCCTGTAAGGACTTATCTATCATATAAATGTATTTTGAACCACAAACATAGGTAAAGATACATCTATATATCTATTTATACATCTGGATAATGAGTAGGTCCGTGCCAAATCGTTCTATATCATTTTGTAATAATCAACAAATTGTGTTGATTTATTTTATTGCTTCAGGATGTTCGTGTATATGTGTCCAGTTTTCCTGAAGTTGCGTGTATATTGTCTTAGCCAAACTATGCAAATTGAATTGAGATTAAACATTGCGGTTTCAAGAAATGAAAACGAAAGTAGAGCAACTGCATAAGACAATCAAAGTTGTCTCCCCTCACTCAATTCGTTAGCTTGGCATTACGACCATTGAAAGTAACCCATCTACAGGGAGTAACATGGACAACATAAACAATTTTTCAAACTTGTACTAATATTGAATGACCCATCGGTGGAATTACAATTAGGCGATGACGTGTGTATGACTAAACAATCAACAAAGCGGAAATCATTTACCCAATAAAATAAGAGTTGTCTTTCCTGAACGTATGCAAATTTAGCTGCACCTCTAGAAATTACACTGTCTACTTTTTAGGTATATAAAAGAGTCGTGTTCATATCGCTGTTGGCAGGTCCGGAGGGTTGGATTATCAATGAAATCCCATGTTCAATTACCACTATACCCCATCCCAACACACGACCTGTTTTGCTAAATCGGACATTTTTTTTATCATTTGACTTTTATTAGACACAGGTACCTGTATCTGGAACGTACTGATGCCTGTATTTTAGATGACTGTCACTTCAAGTTCTTTGCGGTGTTTGTATACAATTTCGTCCTCGATCGATGTTGTTCCCGGTTGATACGAGAAACATCATCGATTGAACTCACTAACAAGCTAAAGTTGTATAATATATCTATAGACATCGATATCCATCCTGCAACTGACACTGCCTGTGTCGGAATACACCTGTCCCATATATCATTACTGTATCATTGTCAGTGACGAAAAACAGGCAAGCGTAACGTCAACATCAGGTGAAATTGAACAACAAAACAGTTTAAGTAGTTTCAATAGTCTGAGTTTCAATCAATGTTGCTATTTCAATAGTCTGAGTTTGAATCAATGTTGCTAGATAAATCGTATAATGCCTTCTCTGCTTCTCTTTTACATTGTGTTAAGTCGTCTCTTATTAGTACAGAGGAAAGTTGACTATGATTTCTTATTTTTCTGATATTTTTAGAGATTCCTTTCTTTAGTTGTTGTGACTCAAAACGACAGTGCATTCTCTATATATCTGTGTTATGGACCATGTATCATTGTACGTTTGATAATGATACATGTTGTGTAAATGTAACAATTATATTAGATATCTTGCATACGATATGAGATATCTTATATAATGTTATGAAACTCAACATCGATCACTTAGCTTCTTCAAGACAGTTTTATATGTCAGTGATTATATTTTATAATTTACGATAGCGTAATTAATTTAAGAAGAAGTTTAACTGTACGGTAATTACTTACAGAGTTGTCTCCCTTCCTTGTAAGATATAATATGCAAATATATTTAAAGTCCTCTTAATGAGGCAGCAGTGTAAGAGGGTTTATATAGGAAGTGTAACACTATATAGAGTGGTAGGTCCGAAGGGGATGACTTTCAAAACTTCATGCTATGTTTAGATGAGTTCTATACTTCATGCCCAGCATATGACCTACTTTTCGCTGAAAGAATGTAACCTAACTCCTTATTAGCACTATCTACATTGCATGTCTAATATCCACAAAGTTACACAAATTCATACTTTGAATTAACTTGTAGTAGGAAACTTAGTTGTTAGTTTTTAGTATCAGGGGTCAGTGAGAAGCATGTAAATATATCATTGACCGATTTTTTTTTAAATATCATGATTGGATGAGCTTAAGATTTTGCCAGAATACCTATAACGAATCGTATGGTATGCTGAAAACTTAATATTGACGAAAGAGCTGTCCTATTTATTTGCTATGTAACAGTGTACTTTATATAAGCTGCGTAGGAAACCGTTCACTGGGAGTATAAGAGACTATTACTGATGGTACCAATAAGTACATTTATCTAACGAAGTACCTTATTCACAGATGTAGTTGATTATGATGAGATTCAGCCATATTTGAAAGTATCTAACCAAACAGAAGAATTTCTGCTGCGGCCCCCATATGTTTCATTAATCTTTCTTAACTTAAAGAGACTTTAATTACTATAGAAAAACATTACGGCCATGTCCATTATATGTAAGTAAATGGAAAACTTCTATTCAAGGAAATTTCCTCAACCTTTGTAATGCATTCCTGTGGGAAATTTTAAGTTAAAGGAGATTCCTTAAGTTAAGGAAGATTTATGAAACTGAGGCCAGACTGATTATTTCAAAGGGAAAATATCAGTTATTGAATTTGAGAGTGACAGTGTTGTTGATGAATTTATCAAAGACTGTACGTATCTATTCAGGACATCAACACAAATCTACTTCAGCGCTGTTGATATGTGAAATACGGTAAACAGATCAAACTGTCGTTCAGATGATGATGATGATGATGAAGAAGATGATGATGATGATTGATGATGATGATGATGATGATGATGATGATGATGATGATCTTTTTATGATCTTTTATTAATTGTAGAAGTAACAGTAATTTTTCATTAATATGTCAAAATGTACATCCTTTGTAGTTCAATCGTCAAAATGAAAAGAATATATGCATGTTATAGACATTTTTAATCTCGCAGAACCCAAATAAAATTCTAAGCGAAAAATTATGATGTGTATACAATTTTTTAAGGTAAGACAATCATATTTTCCCTGAAGGCGACTCATCAGATTTCAAATTAAATCGTGGGCAATTAACGAAATTGAGCTTACGATTCTGTTAACTCGATGACATATATATGTGGTGAATTTATTGATAACAGAATTAGGAGTTTGTGGTGGAAAACAGTGTGCTGGGAACGCCGAATGTACCGGTTACCACTGTGTATGTCGTCAGGGTTATATAGGAAATGGATATATCTATTGTGAAAGTAAGTAATTTACAAAATAACTTTAAGAGTCCATCTTTTCCTGAATACGGAATAAGTTATCGAAACCCTTTATGAGACATCACAAAAAAAACAGTCTCCTGCTGAAATATTACGCTTTAAGAATTTTTGCCCATTTTGTCTAAATATGAAGATTTTATTTATATGTTCTCTACAAATGAAAAAGCGATGGACATATCAGGAAATTCCCTTTCAGTTATAAAATGTGTTATTAAATTCATTTGATAAAGAAATTCTTGTTCTTATTGTAAATGTTTACTCTATTTTTCAATAAAGAACATTTAAAAATGTTTAAAAAAATCATAATTATACAATTCATAGAGTTATGCAACGGGAGGAAATGTGCAAAATATGCAGTATGTACGGATACAGGCTGTCAGTGTCAACCTGGTTACCATGGAAACCCGTATCTAAAATGTGAAGGTATGTTATGAACTTACTGTTGATGTGATAAATTCGTTCAATTTTTTATTTTTTTTTTCACAAAATATTACAGGATTCGTGCATTTTCTAACTCTATATCGTATTTTCCATGTTGTGTTCAATGTGTGTCCCATGTTGTGTTCAATGTGTTTCCCATGTTGTGTTTCTAAGCATAAGTTGTCATTTAGTATTGGTTGTTTCAGTGGCAAGTCTTTGTGGTGGGAAAACTTGCGCAGAGAACGCCCAGTGTTCAAACTACATGTGTCAATGTAAACCAGGTTACCTTGGAGACGGCTTGATGAAATGTCAAGGTGAAGTTGAGATATCAATTATAGCTGACAATAGGTGTGAAATTTCGGGATATATTCTGATGAAGACATTTTCTTTCACTTCGGAATTGCATCTTTTGTCATGCTTAAAATTCCTTCATTTGTACCGATCTACTAACAAATCGACATTTTGCCCGTTCTGTATCTATTATATGTTGTAGAAAAAATAATAACGCTATGTATATTATTACAGAAACATGTAACGGAAGGCTGTGCGTTCCTTTCGCTGAATGCAAGAACGGTAACTGTGTTTGTCAGGAAAATTATCACGGATTCGGGTTTTGGAAATGTGAACGTAAGTGAACTGATATTAACAGGAAAATTTCCAAAAAAATGTTAATAATAATAAAAAATGAAATGAAATAAAATCTAGTATCGAAGTCAATATTAAACGACCAAAAACACCAATCTTCATGAATGTAGTGTTTGTTCTATAACAAGAGTTTTCATCATAATATCACAAAGTCCACATCTACTCGAATTCAGATATCAATAATTTTATACTGTATTAACAAGACTGTACAAACGACACATATGTCCTTTTAATACAATTTTAGAGTTAGATAGAGAAGTGTCAAACAATGCATTAAATAAAGTATTTTCAACTTCTAATTTGATATTTGCTTATATGTATTTGATCTTAATTTCAGCCATCGGTATTTGTAACGGCCAAAAGTGTGCTGCAAACGCAAAATGTATAAATCTGCAATGTATATGCAAAGCAGGATATTTTGGAGATGGTTATAACTCTTGCAAACGTAAGTATTTGAAAAGAAAATAAAACAATATATTATTGTCTTCAAATGTTGATGATTTTCAATAACCATTTCATTATGAGTCAATGTATTTCTAGGTGTAAAACTGAAAACGGAAATTCATCGACAGAGGACAATGTTTTTTCTGTTTGTTGTTAAAAATTAGCGGAATCTGAAAACAACTAAAAAGAATCACTTTTGTTATTTTTATACCTTTCATCTTTTATTTAGATTGTACAAAAGACAAAAACAGGTGAAAAGCACTTTTCAAAACATATCCATTTTCTGAACCGTATACAGGGAAAAACAAAAAACGGGGATTAAAATATTAGGAAGCACATTAGAACTTTAAATGCGCCATTCGTTAGTGGTACAAAGGGCCTAAATCTCTAAAACGAATGAGGAAAATTGATATTTGTCGAAATATATATCGAAGACCAGATAGGGGGTGCATTTATCCCACAAGTAAAAATAAGTTAACAATTTTAAATATTGAATTATTGAAAAAGAAATTCGAATGCATGCGTAATTTCTGAACCGTGTCATTGAAGTTTACAAGAGGTTTTGTACAAAGACAGCATATGGGGGAAAACATCTTTCTAATAGCTTCAGAAAACAACACGTGTCTAAGAAAACTATCTTAACAAATGTTTTCTAAGACATTTTAAGTCTACTGATGTCGTGATTTTGTTTATATCGTGCAACAATGTGTCAAATTGATGAAGTGCATGGTGTGCAGACAAGTAGATGAAAAGACCTATCCGTTGTATACAATATATGTCTCTGTCCTCTACTTGAAATGTTTTCTTCATTTTTTTCTCGTTTTCCCCATTTTAAAATCTAACAGTTGCATGATTCCGCGATGTAGCTTTCATTCTTGAAATGTAGATTGATTTACTGAAATTCCAAATGTTTACTCCTGAACAAACATTTATTGATATGATATTATCGTTCCATAGCCTTTTGTGGCGGAGGGGTGTGTACAGAACATGCCAAATGTTCAAAAGGTGTCTGTGTTTGTCACACTGGATACCATGGAAACGGTTACCTAAAATGTGAACGTAAGTATATCATACTGTGATAGAATGTCAAAATAATGATAAATGTTTGATAAATGAATTTATTTCATCGGCAATTTCTCTGCAACATCGATATGTATTCAATAACGGAAATGATATGGTATAATTGAATTTTTTTATTTAGTGTCTTAGACCACGGAATATTGTAATCACATTTACCTTTTTTGATTTGAATAAAACATGAGGATGATGATCGTTTCAGCTCTGGGTATATGTGGAGGTCGTGAGTGCGCTAAATACGCCGTATGTGAGAAGTTCAAATGTGTGTGCAGACCGGGCTATTTCGGAGATGGATACACCTACTGCGACCGTAAGATAAATTTGTTGTTTGAAATGACTTAGTAAAGTTAACAAACTGGAATGACAGACACACTGTGAGCGAAAAGAGTGACAAGTCTGCTATCAAATAAATAATTATAAATTAACAAACAAAAAACAGGCTAAACTTCAAATAATACCAACATGCATGACTTGTCTAGCGGAACACGATTCATTTGACGTATAGGTGTCTAAATATTACACGTATAGACGATATTGGGAAATACAAATGCAGCGGTCAATTTTGTTTATTGAAATAGATGCAGTGTCAACACTTTTTTCCTATTTCATTTATTCTTTTTTTTTTCTCAAATCCTATTTTTTCTACTTGTTTTGTTAAGAATCCTAAATTCCTATCTAATAATTTATTTTTAATAATCGATTTAATTCTCTTGAGATTTTTTTAGCATTTGAAACTTTTTATACCACTTATATCAACATGGAGTGTAAAATTTTACTTACATTCTGGGTGATAAGTATACATTCACGTCTATCCTTATCAAATTGTAGGCGCTATTTTAGTACCCTCATAACCAACAAAGACAATACCAACATGTCAGAGTTTAGAAAAGAATAAATTTCTTATAAATTCATCATATAAATGATTAGTTCAATAGTCGATTATTCATACTATTATTTGTTTAATGGACATAGTATACCGTTACCATGGACGGTATTTTAATATTGGGAATGATTCTCCTGGCTTATTGGGTATCATATGTTGCAGTGGACGGTTTCTGTCGGGGGAAGAAATGCGCTGACAATGCCGAGTGTGTTAACGATATTTGTGTCTGTCGAGGAGGCTACGCGGGTGACGGCGAAAAGACCTGTACACGTAAGTAGAAAAAAATATTAGTAAACATTAAATATCCCTAAAAGTTCTATATTGCTTCTTCATACAGCGTTACGTTCAGACATCGTAATTCTGTTATTCTACTCACATAAACTGATTTTTAGTTTCATAAAAAAAATATTTTCTATAAATTGTTACGATCAAAAATGATTTTTCCCGACAGGAAAGTGTGTGTGCTCAGCCTCCGGAGATCCTCACTACCTTCGTTACGACGGTAAAAAGATCAATTTCCAAGGAATATGTAAATACACACTGACAAAATTAAAAAAGACGATAGACGGGTGTTACTTTAACATCGAAGTGAAAAACGAACGCCGAGGAAAGAACAAACGCGTGTCTTGGACAAGATTTGTTGACGTCAGAATCAATGACGTCAGTATACGGCTGCTGAGGAAAAGGAAGGTGTTGGTAAGAGATAAATGTAGTCACGGACTAAATTCAGGGTCAAGAGAGAATGCCCCGTATTTATCATCCAGGAAACTGGTGACATGGATGCTATCTAATTGCTAGTCAAGAGGTCAAAATGACTTTCAAAATAAAACTTTTTTCGATATAAATGTATGTCTTATCAATTCTGATGCATCTTACGAGTGAGTTGAGGACATCGTTATTTAATCATTGCTCTTACATATATTTAATGAGGTTGTATTTCAACATCAAATGTCATTTATTAAAATTATGTGTAAAATTAAGTACTTTACTATTAGGTAAACAGTTACTTGCGTCACCTACCCGTCACTGAAAATGGTTATCAGATCTACCGGAGTGGTATATGGGTAGTCGTGACCTCGAGGTGTGGACTAACAGTTTGGTGGAATGGTAAGGCAGCTGCCATGGTGGAGGTCAAGGTCGACTACGGACCTTACCTTACCGGTATCTGTGGTAACTGTAACGGTCTAGATGACGATGACCGGAAGCGGGACGGAGAAGATGTGACAGGTTTCCCTAAACGTAAACGTGATGCTATGATTGGTCATAGTTACATGGTGGAGGACGATTCAGAGCCGGAGGCAGGTGTTTTAGAGGAGTGAGTGTCCAAAGCATTTTACCTCATACGTGGTAAAAACGAAATACATCATTTTTTTCCCCCGAAATTTTGAAAATTAACTTTAAGTAAAGCGTAAGTAATATGAATTATGACAAAGCCATGTGGAGCGAATGTAGTATTATCATTGATATATTTCATTGTGACAAAACATTTGACGACAATAATTATTCATCCTAAAGTTTAAGTAACCTTTCCTTCTTTGAATGATGTAGATTTATTCTTTCCTACATTCTCGGCAGTTTTGTCGGGTAAGATACTAATCGCTTAATCTCGTTCAACCAGACCCTTGTTGTCTGCACAGGTGTATGTATGAAGCGTCTGGATGAGCGAGATTATTTGTTGCTATGTCCGCCATGTTACTCTATGCTGCTGGCACAAAATATACTTTATTGGGGCATAAGACATAATATGAATAATGTTTTCCTCTTTTTCTTTCATTGCGATTGTTATCTTTAGGGCTTGCTTTGTAAGCGGCCCCTCGCTATTAATATCAAAGACTGGCACAATAAAAGGTAATATCAGCGTTAGCATCATTAATACTTCAATAAACTTGTGCTTGTACCTCACATTAATGTCACTTTTACTGTCACAGAAAATATGCTCTGATGTCTTCATAACCAGATATCTACTTGATAAATGTTTAAGATGCAAAACAGAAGAAGTTGAAACATCCGAGTGTTCCGAAGAGCACATAAAAGCCGCTAAAACTGTGGATCTGTGTGGTCTTTTGGACTTCAGCATTAAGGACAGTCCATTCCGCCAGTGCATTAGGCAAAACCCTATCCTAGCTGATACCAAACTCAAGGCCTGTGTTTTCGACGTCTGTGCTAACTTCGAGGACAGCTCTGTTGACACGCGATCTATAGGATGTGGTTACTATGAAGAGTTCGACGAAGAGTGCTCTCTACGAGGATTCCATGTCAAGTGGAGAACAGCTGATATATGTCGTAAGTACTAAATGTCAGCATATTCTTTACTTATTGACATAACCGGTTTTTAAAACACTTTTGAATGCATAACTTGGCTGCATGATCTGTACTATGTTTCTACAACTGGAAAATTGCTAATTAAATAGTAAAGTTATTGATAAAAAGATTTTCACTAATATGCATAATAGCATTTTCTAATAGTATCATATAGTTTCTTTTTATTTATTAACCTCAATAATTTTACTTTTTCTTAAACACTGTTGATAAATTAAGTGGTATCTTCTAGCTTTGCCATGCCCAGTCAACATGAGATATAACCCCGCTGTAAGTGGTTGCCCTCCGTCTTGTATGAACACTAACCCTTCTTGTGACCTACCAACCACTGACGGTTGCGAATGCTTACCAGGCCTGCTGGAGAGCGGTGACAAGTGTGTGAAGATAGAGGAGTGTGGCTGTCATTGCGAGGATCTACCTTATGTCCCGGTACATTCAAGCATTACTATACCAAAATGTTGTATATTGATTCATTTTAAACCTGTTATCATAGAAAGTTCATGTTACACGGAATCAAACGAACATGGTGCGAATTGCCTAACATACAACATCGGACGATAGTTATGTGATCAACAGTATAATCTGGACTTCAAACCTATTGTCTTTGATACGACTTTATAGTATCGCAATGAAAAGTACTGTGTGAACATCATCAATTAAGGCCAGACGATTCTCCGGTCTAATTTTCAAAATTATACCCAAAAACATTTTTTGAATTGTTTATAAAACATTTTTTAAAGATTTTTATCAGATCCAATTACACACTTTAATACACTCTTTAATATTCATATTTATTCCGTTGAACACACCAATGGAGCAATCATAATACGGTTTTTATGGTTATATCTATTGAAGTATTGGATGAAGTCTTGTACTTTCTCGGAACTGATAAGTATACTTAATTAGTGCTACTCATGGAAAATAAAACAAAAAAAAAAAACGTTTAGTGCGTCACTCGAACAAATAAAATCTTACTTTCCCGCCACATTCCTCTTGACGACGATGTAATGAAATAGGAGAGTACTTTATAGCACTACTCATTCCATGAAAACACACTTGCGAGACTTGCCACATGGGACAGGAAGACAAAAGTGGCGCCACTTTTATGTTGTTCTTCTCCCTCGCCAAAATACAGCTTATACTTTAAGACATTGACCATGTATTCTCTATATATTGCAATTATAAAATTCTCTGCCTTTCAGGTTGGTGAGCAACACGTGACAGATGATTGCGCCGAGATAACTGAATGCCGAATTATAATGGGGAAGCCAGTAATGAGAGGTGTGAAGATCAATATTGAATGTGGCGAGAATGCATCATGTGCCCTACAGGAGGGCGTACCGACGTGTACGTGTATGACCGGATACATGAGGGATGGCAATAGTACTTGTGTTCCAATACATTAAACAAATAGCAAGTACATATTAAAAATCTAACTAATATTTGGTACAAATATCTGTTATTACTAGCGTCATCCGGTAGAAACAGGTAACGAGACAAGTTTCTCTTTCGACAAACAGGACATACTGCGAGTTTTAACTATGTTCCTATCGACTTTGGAATACGGATCGAAACTATTGAAGAATGTGCTGTAAGAAATCGTTGGCTCGATGTCGTTAATGAAGAGTTTCGATTTCATAGATTATGATTTCTGAGTTTTCGTTTTGAATAAAATAATCATAACTTTAGTATGCAAATACAATACCTGTACCCATCTTTGTTGCCAAAAAAAAAAAAAAAACAAAAAACAAAAGATTAAAAAAATCCCGCCCTCCTTACACTACCATGCGCCATTAGAACTGTGACATAGAGTGATCTCCCTTCCTCTTTCCTTTACGCTCCAGGAGGAAGTAGGAACCATGCTTGCAAAAAACGCATTCGATTAGTTTCCTGTGGTTGACTGCACTGCCGGCTTCTATTCCAGAATGTTTCTGGTTCGAAAGAAGTCCTAAGTGCTTTTAACATGCACGTAGATTCTCCTTACTTCCCCAGGGCATCATTGTGGGTCATTTCGGTAGATCTGAAGGATGCCTGTTTCCACATCCCTATCAAGAAGTCAACACGGAAGTTCCCCCGTTTTACCTGCAACGGAAAGAACGTCCAGTTCCGAGCCATGCATTTCGGGCTCACGACTGCACCTTTGGTTCTCACTAAGCTGCTCACAGTGGTCGTGGGATTTCTTCACTCTCGCGGAATAGACGTCCACATCTATTTTGACGATTCCCTCATGTTTCAATTCGTGAGGCAATCTTTAGTGAGGGACACCCGTTTGGTCATGAAACTCTTTAAGTTGGGCTTCATTCCTTCCAGAGAGATGTCAGATGTCTCCCCATTTCAGGACTTCGTTTCAATGGGGAATCGTTTGAACATGTTTCAGGGAATAGCCCTTCCAGAAGTTCGATAAGACCGGGGCTCTTGCTCTGACCTTCAGATGGTCTCGCGTCCATGTGCGTTGGTTTAACAGTTTTCTGAGTTATATAAACTCCCTAGCAGATATGGTCCCCTTATGGAGACTTCACATCAAACCTCTCCAGGTGATTCCCTTGGCCAACTGGGTCAGGAGATTGGGAAGCATAGATGCCCCTCACCCAGTCAGTCAGAGAGTTAGCCCAGCGGTGGACCTTTCAGGAGAACATTTTCTGTGGGGATTCTTTGTCCAAACCGACCACATCTATAACCTGTTCACAGTGCTTCCATGACGGTTTTGGTAGCTTACCTTGCCATCCGCATTCTTCTTTGCCAGGAGATGCAGGTGACCATTTTCCGGTCAGATTGAATGTGCTGGCAGACACTCTCTCAAGGCGCCACCAACCGGTGTTGACGAAGTTGCAGCTGTGTCCCTCGATCTTCAACAGAATTTGTCAGGTGTGTGACAGGCCTCTCTTAGACCTGTTCGCCACTTCCCTTAACAAATCAGTTGCAAACTTCCATGTCTCCATGAGAGTGCCCAGTGGCCAAGGCAACACTGGTTTCCGGAGCTCTTGATGTTTCTGGTGGAGGAGCCATTGGCTGTCCCTGCCAAATCAAATCTTCGCAAGCTTCGGTCCATGATGATGCACTCATTCGAGAGATCATCCATCTTCACGAGTGGAAGCCATCTCAGGAAGCCTAGCTCAGGTAGGCTTTTCTCGAGAGGTGTCAGATTGCATCACGCAAACTATCAGGGCTTCCTCTTCTGCTGTCTACCAACCACGGTCGAAGATCCTCTGTGATTGGTGTGCCGGCTGGAAGGTTGATCTGTTCAAGGCCTCGTTGCAGTTGATTGCAGATTTCCTTCTCTTCTTGTTTAGGGACAGCAATCTGGCCCCTGACACTATAGCTGGTTACAGTACAGCTATATGGAGTCGCACCCTATCATCCCCTTTCCTTGTCTGCCACTTTGTTGTGCTCCATATAGTTTTTTTCCACTTTATGTCTCTGTCGTAATTGCTCAAGGGACAACCTAATGTGCTGGTGCGCTTCAATGATCACACGCTTTTGATACATTTACCAATCAGAAACAGCATTATGAATAAAACAAGGAGAGTATGTGATATTTGTACAGAAGATTATGAATGGCAGGACATTAAAACAACCTAGATAAGCACGCACATGACTTACATTACAGATTGGTTCTATGACACAAAATTGGCAGTTAAGCTTTATACAAGACTAAAAGTTGTACAGTTGTCATCTTAAAGCCATAAAAAAGGGCTTGACAGAATAAAAGACAAAGATCAAAAAACAAATAAATTAATATATAAGTAATTCATCTACTAAGTCAAGTTATACAGCACGTTTGCTGCTAATTGGAGACCATTGTATAAGTGTCTTAGTCATGTACTCGCCTTCCACCTACAATGAAGCTCATCAATAAGAATTCTATCATTCAATCTGATGTGAAATGGTGAAAAAATGTATGAACTATCATACCCGATCCATGACATTTTCCATCATATTAAATATGTTGCCATAGCAAATTATATTATGACTTCCAGCTGAAGACTTAGTTTAATGAATAAATGCTGCATTTTCATAGAGAGAAAACAAACACTATATTTAATCAATTCAAAAGGATAAAACTTTATTAAATTAACTTTTAGCAATATTGCTTAGAACCAAACATTTGAACATACATTGAAAGCTTGCACATTTATACATTAAAGCCATTTCATGGAACACATATTAAGAAAATATGACAAAATTTATCAGTGTTTGCATGATGTAATATATATAATATACAATATCCAATAAGAAAGATATGAATGGGAAACAAAAATTTAAAAAAAATGACAATAATACAAAGTTGCAAATTCAATCAAAATGAGACAAAACAAAATAAATATATGTGATGTAGATATATAAACTAATGTGAGAGTAAACAATGACAGTTTTACAAATCAGTAAAATGTTCAAGTACAAATATATCATCAGGTCAAGTTAAATGGTACTTCTAAGCTTATCCAAAATATGAAACATCATTTGGCACTTTCTGAAAATCTTAATATATGTAACTTGTACCTCTGCTACACATTTTCTGTCAGCCGCTTATTAGCATACGACCACAATGTCACAAGATCGAGGATATGGATAATTAAAATGACATGTATAACATCTGAAGATAAACCTATATTACATATTACTACATTAAGATACTGTTCATGGCTTTGAAACGAACAGTGTTGTCTCGCTGAAATGAACCAACCTCACTCCCCCTACCTCCATGACAAAAGGATGATTTCAAAATATAGGTTTTGAGTATTGTTTCTCAAGTATACTGTGTTGATGTTGAATATTAATGTTAAAAGCATTTGACCAATCAAAATAGATGTAATTGTTCTTTGTTCAAGATTACCACGGATTTCCTCACACCTGATTAAGAATCAAAATAAAGTTGAATGTCACATCTACAAGATTCCTGAAATAAAAATTCATTTAAATCATGCCTGAATAGATAAAAAAGTGTATATGTGTAATTAATAATTGTTTTTTAAACAAACTGCAAACTTTTTACAATATTAACCAAAAAAATAATCAGGTTGACGATCTAGTTGGGGTATGATACAAGTGAAAAATTATGTATTAGCACATCAAACACATATACAATAAGTAGCTAGCATTTAGTATAACATTACAATAAAACATAGTGAAAAGGATTTATGAAATGGAATGGATAAGATATTAAAACAGAACACCTAGTTATCATAACCAGAACAGCCTTTAAAATATTTGTTGATTGAAAATTGAATTCAATATGCATTTTAAAAAATAATTTAGCATGACTTTCAAAACTAGCAGAAATTTTTTAGAAATATCGGATGATTCGTGAGAAAGGAATGATTTAAAACATAGGCCTTTTTTCTTGAAAATTCTTCTTTCGTTAAATTTTCATCATTGCTAATTAAGATTTCAATTTCATCCGATCCTTAACACGTTATTTTGATAAGAAATCTTTCCAAATCGATATTTCAAATCTGACCAATGATAACGATGATGTAACAGTATTGATACAATGATCATCCATCATGGAACATTCTGGAGGCAACACATCAATAGAAAAATGATTTAATTTTGAACACACTAAATGGTATATTCAATATAGATAACCCAATTCTAAGAAATAAATATTGACAACATGCTTCAGAAACATACACAAAATATGAGAATTCAACATTATATTTCAATATTCAATAAGGCACTATATTAACAATATAATCTTAAAACAAAAGGCCCAGCAGGCCCGTATTATCCTTGCTGCTAATCAATGTAATTAACATCAACTCGAACATAATTGTTTGAAGTACATCATTCTCATACTTTCATAATAATAGCACCGGGGTGTTTACAACACTACTGAACTGTAACAAATTCATATCTAATGTAAGCACTAACAGAGGGGAAATAATTGTTGGGTATTTGGTGGATCTTTGGCAGAAACTGATACAACAATTTCCCTATAAACTCTATACATGATAGTTGTTGCCCTTCTAAAGGACTTCTAGCACCTCTAAATGCATGTTAAACAAAGAAAAAACTTACTCAAGTAAGACAATGTCATCCCTAAATAATTAAACGGATTGATTTTGCATTCAAAGTTTAAATGGAACATGACACTGAAGATAAATTTCTATAAATCTAAAAATCTGTTGGAACAAGAAACATGATAAATTCTATAATTTATACATTTGTATCAGTACAAACACGTTTCCTGTAATGAACTCACATTTTGTCCTAAGATATGAAAAAAACACACACACACGTTACTTTCTATAACAACCAGTTCATACAGACTAGAAGAGTTCATATGTTCAATATATAATTTCTTCCTTTCATTTCAAATATTAACAAAATGTCATCAGAATTCTTGTAAGGCTGCTTCCATTAAAAAAACAGCTTAATAGCTTGACATGATGTTGTTAATTTAGATATTTAAATAGGATTGATAAGAAACATCAAACATGATGTGAGTAACGAAAATTAAACATGTAAAGATATTTGTGATATACAAATAATATGTTTTTAGTATCAATTTATATATATATTTAAGCAATTTTTTCTAGTTGTGTTGATGTCCCTATCAAATGAATGACTATAAAATTCAGAAAGATTACCTAATCACATCAAACAGCATTACAGAAAGTTCAATTGTACGATGATTTATCTTCTTGACAACTTGGCAGTATATCAAAAATTGTTATAAAAATACATTTAAGTCTTAATAATGATTAAAAGGTATTTACTGGTATTGCCGCGCTTGCAACTAACATCTCAAACTTCAACATCAACAATTGTTTTATGTTTGGTATTTTACTTTAAAATTTAAAATGAACAACAGATACTGATAAAATTAAAAGATCTTCCAAAGGAGATATATTTTGATACGGTATTGATAAAAGAATCTCATTTTATAATATCTGTTTCTCAGACACATATATTGTACAATTTATATAGAGCTGGACGCTGATGTAACATTCTAATTTACACACATGATACAGACAGAAGCAATGGTTAGGTAAATCAGGAAAATAGATAGAAAAGGATACATGTTCTATACACATTACCCTGTTCAACCTGGTAGATTTTATACAAGTTGAATACTAATGGATTTTATGAGAAAACTAGCTATTTCAGTATCAAATCTCTTATGAATATCAATTAAACTGTAATGAGTATTTGGTAGCAATGTTTATTCTAAATTAAAAAAACATTTGTGATATATAATATCAGCTTAAGTTATAAAACCATGCAGGTACAGTAAAAATGAGGTACAAAATATCTACACTGCACAAATATTAGCTTTTCAATATGTGAACATATATCTTCATGTTATCAATAAGTAAAAATCAAACAAAACACATCTAAGGTGAGTGTACAGTTAATTGAACATTGAAAGTTCAGATATACACAATTAATCTTAATATAATTATCAATGACAAGCACAGTTGATTCGAATTATCATTGAATAGTCAGACAATAATGAGACTGCTAAGTGCAAATCTTGCATAGGAAAACTTTTAGAAAAAATTTATTCATACATAGTGATCTCAATGTCACCATGTCTATGAATGATAACTTAATTCAATCAAAAGTATTTCTTCACTTAATTACTATTAGTATGTAAAATAGAATTGTAAATTTATGAGACAATCTTCAGAAATGAAGGAAAATGATAATGATTCTCATACAAATGACAAATGATTGAAGACAACAGATGATCAGTTCACAGCATTTTATATCCTGGTCTTTAGGAAAACTCATCCGCTTGCTCCAAAGTATGTAACATATTTTCAACCACAGACCACATTGATAGGATAAGAATCTAGACTTGATAAAGTCATGATATTTATAAATCCTTTTCATATAAAAACATCTCTTATCTCTAACATCTTCAGCAGACTTCTGTTCAATGCTAGATGTTCGGAGATATCCATGTCATAGAACTGTTATAATCACATCCTACCGAAGTCTATGATATTAGGTAATGCATTCTTTGAAAAAGTTCTCAAGGTCTACATCTTGTGCAACCGAACCTCTTTCAAAGTCTCCAACTCTATGCCACAGTGTCTGCTTACAATACCTGTTTTGGCCAGCCGGAACACTTTGACCAATTTATCCAACTCAATGAGATTTACACTTTAGAGATTCCATTGAAGAATTGATGTTTCCCATTGGCAAAGCAGGTAAATCAAGGATAATATATTTAAAATGACTAATTACGACATCTTTTTCACAAAATAGTACGATGCGTATACATGATTAGAAGAAATCACTTCCGATATCCAATCGTTGCAGATACCTGTATATATCAACATATTCTTGTTGATGTTCGCTACAGATACTGGGTCACTTTGTAAACACAATCACCGCAGATATGTGCTTGACATCACACCATATATTATGGATTTTGTCTCACAATACTTTTAACATCATTTGTCACATGTTAATCACTGGAGTGCAGTTTTGGTGACCTGACATACTCATCGCTGTGGATATTTGCACGACATCATATTTAATGGTCTTGGTTGATTAATATCAGGTAATGTTTCATCGTATAATCACTGAATCCTTAAATTTCCACACATCATATTTACATATCATTGAGGATACCATATATATATGTTTACATAATCACAGCCAACACTAATTACATTCCTTCAATACATCTTTCCTGTTTGTGTGCACTGACAATATCTGTTCAATATCATTTTATAATGATCACTATTCATACATTGCCAACACATCAGCTGCTGTATCAATCACTGAGGACATCTGTCGTACAACGTTTGTTTATATCCTCACTATGGATATTTGTCCGATCAGTGAAGTACTACACAATAGTTTGTTGTTTGTTAGGTGTATCCTCCACATAGCTGTGGTGATACAGACCTGTACTACCATCTGCTAACATTCCTATCAGCCAACCCGGATTGTCTTCATCCTGCAAAACCAATCAGTCAATATCTCAAATGAAAATTTAACACAAGATTAAAAGAAAATATATATCAGTGTTGCTAACCTGTCTACAGCAATCAAAACAAATATTGCCCTGTCAACAGAATCTTAGTTCAAACTCAAATTTGATTCAACTAGCTAGGGCAATATGCATAAAAGAAAGAAGTGAAAAAGTACAAATAAGACCAGGTGTTCCAGATGAGCAAGCTTCAGCTTCATCAACAACACCTATATAATTCTTGATATTTTTGATGTGTCCCCTTTAAGTCTTCTCTTAATAGCTTATGTTTTCTCCGAGAACACAATATGGTAGGTCTGCCATAAACATACTATCAACAGAAACTGGGTTGAGGTTTCCTGGACACAACCATCGCTGCACAGAATAATCCTTGATATCAGCACTCTGAGAAACAGAATCTGTCACAGGTAGGGATCAAACCTCACACCCCAGGTCTCCACCTGATGCAACATTAGTTTGATGTTCTAGTAACTTGCTTTTAAAACCTCTATTTTGATTGTTTCTACTTCCCAAAACAGGTTTTGGCCTTTGCAATTTTGATAAAAAGAATCAATTGACACCAGCAATTGTGGAGATTTTAGCAAATATAGCAATTTTCATGACCAAAATGAACTGACCTAGAAAAAAACATGAGATGAAATGTAATTGTGTGTATAGTAGGGTTACATGTTTAAGACAAAATATCAATATTAACACTTGCATGAGAATTAATTTTAAACACGATTAATTGCTTAGAGACATTCAGTAAATGATATCATGAACATTGTTATATAGACTATGAAGACAACAAGAAAATTCCAACAGGTCAAGACAATTATAATGAAAGTCAAATTCAATAAAACAAACGTAAAATATGAACAAAAGAAAGCTTTACACAGAGATTCCGGACAGGCACAAAAAGAGTAAAATCAGGAGTTCCGCAAGAGTACATTATAAGTAAGTGTTTTCTGTTTCATTGACTCACTACAACTGCCATGTAAATCTTGGTCAATCCCAGAAAGTATTATAAAATTACACAACAACGGAACCAACTGGCAAACATGCCTAACTTCATATCGATCAGAGAAATAGAGTATTTCTCAATGAGACCACTATGATGACCATAAAAATTCACCATAATTTTCACGTTTTGAAGCCGAGGAAATGCATAAATGATTCATCAATTACCGTTTATTAATTGGTAATTAACTGCTAAGATAAACCAATCTTAATACAGTACAACAGTACTTTTTGCTTCCCTTAACTATAATTTTCTACAAAAATATGCAATGTTACCTCTGTAATTTCCATGATAAAATTGCCTTCATCAAATGACAGTTCACCTGGATTTTGTCCCTTGTATGGTCTCACAGTTTTTCGCAAAGATCTTTTCTCAATAGGTCTGGAAATTGGAAATTGTTAAGTCATTATACTATTGCAACTATTGCAATCTGTAGAGAGGTGCCCATCTTATCACATTGATTTAGAAGGCCACAACAGGCGAAGTGGAACAGGTACATAAAATTATGATGTTTTCAGACATACAGATCTAAAATTTAAACCTTTCAAATTCATTTCAATTATCCAAAGCCAATTTTAATCATTAATTACTTTTTAAATTGTAATGTAAAGTTTGTGGAGTTTGATTTTATGTACCTGAATCATGAAGTACATGATGCTAAAAAAAACAAAGCAGAGTCTGCAGATTTATATAAGAAAACATAATAAAAAATATAAAACATTTTGAATTTTATTTGAAAGTTGTAGTAGACATGATACCATAAAAAAACGACACCATCATTTCTGAACTACAATAAAACAATGCAGTTACCTTAAGTCTGCTGGTTTTCCATTAACTCCATTGATTTTACCAAAGCTTGAGAAAGTTCCAGATGAAGGCTGGTTATCTCCTTTAGAGGAAATCTTGATTTCTGGACTAGATGGAGGGGAATTAGGAGGAGGTGGTCGAGCTGGTTTAGCTACTGGTATGGACCGTTTTTTCGGAGGGCTGATCACCTTATCATCATTGTCTTTGGTCTGAGGACTAGGTGATCGGAAAGTGGACAACTTTGGCAGCCTGCTCGGACTAGAATCAGCCTTTCCCTTGGACTTTTTGTTTGTTTCCGGTGGTTTATTGGGACGCTGTGGTTTGGATTTAGGTGAAGCACTAGTGTCCTGGTTCTGATTATTTCCATTTTGAGAATTAGATTTTGATTTATTGCCTGCACTGTTTCCACCACTGTTCTGACGTACAGGTATGGATCTTTCATTGCTTCTGTTCCTCGGTGATTTCTTTGGTGATTTATTGTTAACAGGTATTCCTGTCTTCACCTCTTTTCCTGGCGAGCTGTTCACTGGTATACCAGATTTTACCTCCCTGGTAGGAGAATCACTGACAGGAATACCTGACCTCACCTCCCTTGCAGGAGAGTTCACTGTACCCGATCTCTGACGTCCTGCTTTCCTCCTGGATGCTGGTGACTCCTGAATAAGTCTTTTCTCTGGGCTAACATTATTCTCCTTTGGTGGAGAGGATGTGTTTGAAATTTCCTTCCTTTTTATTGAAGGCGATTCCTGCGCTACCTTCCTGTCTGGGCTGGTATTAACTTCCTCAGAACTTGTGTCTGGTCTGTAGTGGATTTTAGGTTGAGGTATTCCTTTTGGTTTAGGTGCAACAGGTGGTCTAGCTTTTGGGATTTTTGTACGATTATCACTTAAACCTGTGTCCATCCTATCACCTTTTTCATCAGGAAAATGTTGCGACTTGTTCACATGAGTGCTTTCGACACTTGGACAATATACGATATTTGGTGATTCCTCCAACACCACACTGTCTCTTGCATTGCCTGTAGGAAGCACTGGGTCACTGTTTTTGGCATTATTGGAAGGACTCTGTGGCACATTGTCATGTGAATTGATAGCAGGATTTGCTGGGGCACTGTCAAAACCATTGGTGTGACCAGATACCACATGAATCTGACTGTAAGTTGCCATAGGATCAGAGTCATACATTTTAACAGGATTTGAAAGATTCTCTGACGGATAAGAATATACATCATTTGAATTTCGAGTTGTTACAGTATCTGGACAGTTTGTGATTGGATCAGGGCTATATCTTTCCACAGGGTCTTGGCCATATACAGGGCCTGGACTGTGAAGCACAACACGATCTGGACTTGATTTAGCCTGCCCACTGTTTTGTCTATTAAACTGAGGAATACGAGAAACTTTCGGTTTCACTTCCTCAACATTGTATGTATGGTTTTTCAAACCGACAGGTCCATCTATCACATCCTCTTCCATGTCATTCATCCCAACGTGATCTGGTATCGTGTTCACCTCCTCAACTTCATGATTAAAAGGCTTCTCCTCACTTAACAATGCATTTTGTCTCTGAAGCTTTGGCATCAGGTGACTAGTATCCTCTTTTGGCCAGCCACCTGCCAAGCTGTCATTGGCAGACATTGAAGTTATGTTCATATCTTTGTACAGACTACCACTTTGGTCTTCCAACTGATGGAAACCAGACATGGATGACAATGATGCAGATATGTTCTCCAGTGAGGTTGTTTCCTCAGCTGTTACGTTAGGTGTGCTAGCAGCACTGGATGGGGAATGGAGAGAAACTTTTGGGGGTGGGGGTCGTGGAGGGGGTGGAGAGCGTGTTGCTTGGCTGGTCCTTTGGTTTGATGTTTTTTTCATATCCAGCTTTCTGCGTGGGACTTTCACTAATTTTGGTTTCACAAATCGTTTTGGAACAGCTGGTTTTGTTGGTTTGTCTACAGAAGTGTCCTGTGTTATACTTATCTCAACCTTAGGGAATTCACTTATAACCTTTGTAACACAAGGCTCCGACTTTCCTACACCTAACGCTTCACTGACCCCTCTCTGCTCTGGGGTTGAGTGATTCTGACCGGGTGGTGCTGGGGCTTGGCGTGTTGGTTTGATAGGTGTTGGCAACTTGCTGGCCCCAGTCGCATCAACGGGAGGTTTTGGTGCTTTTCGTTTTGGTTTTATCCTCTTACCGGAGCCTTTAGAGTCCATTGTGCCAGAGGACATGGACATGTCATCATCTGACCGGGACTGGACAGATAAAGTGGATGCACTGCGGTCAGACTTAGCAGCAGAAAAAGTAGACAGAGTCCCCGGGCTTCCAATATCCATTGTTTGTCTACCTGATCTGTCTCGACCTGATACGTCTGAGGCTAGTGATACATTGTCATCAGATCTCACAGACAATTGTGATGTACTCATGTTGGAAGTCACTGGCAAGGGAGATGTCACATTCATTCTACCCAAAGAATCTTTTGTGTTGCCGTATTCATCTACATAGCTCTGACCATCTGTCACAATCTGAAAGTAGAGTGAAAATGCGATAAATTCTTCTTCTTCTAACATTCAAGTTTTTTAAAATGTCAAATCCATTCATTGTGTCTTAGGTTATAATCAAATCAATGGTACAGGATTGAAATGGAATAAAGAGTCACCATACAGAAATTCCACTATTCAAAATGCACTTAAAAATGGTGTATGCAATGCATGCAACTCTGTGACAAATAGGTACTGGCCTTCTTCACAAATACATCTCCTATAAGCTCACTTTTATTAACAAGAGGCCCAACAGCCTTTTTATTAACAATTAAGGTCTTTTTGTCACATGTCATGAAAATAACATAGAAATGATTTTGTCAAAAAATTAAGATAGCTTGAACTACATTTTACTTGTATAGCAACTGCAAAATGTGCATAAAATTCACTATTCAATCCATGAATTCTTACACTGATAATTCTAACCAAGTTTAAACTATTTTCGATAGGAAATAAACAAATTATGTTCCAAAATGTTATTTTCCAATATAACCCATAGTAAATTTTACCCTCTACAAATGTGAGACCCACGGGTGATGAATTTTAAAATTTTAGTAAAGCACCACACGAAACTTATACCTAGAATGTTTGATTATACATAATCTTGGTATAATGTAGAAAAATTTTGAAATTTCAGTCATTTTTATAATTCTTCTAACCCGTCTATTAGACCCTTGTGGGTGGCAACCATACAATTTACAATTTTGGTTAACCTTTGACCCTTGAAGGTTTCTACAAAATTTCACTGGGTTTTCAGGAAGAAGAAGAAAATGCTACCATTTTACAACTTGACGCACATCGCACGACACCTGACTGAAGTCAATTGCAATAGGTCACCATGAGACTTCATCACAGATGACCTAAAAAGAAAGAAAGGATGAGCTCCAAAGGGGTCTATATATCATCCAATGAAATTTAAGTGTTGAATTTCCCTTTGTGTGATCACAAATGCCTTCCTTCACACGATTCTTATTAATATTCCTAGACAGGATGTTGATTTCTTTTTTACATTAAAACTTAAGTCCTTCAGGATGTGGATGTAATCTAATCATACATGTATTAACAATCTACATACAGTGATTAAGCTTCCTGATACTAAGATGAAGTTGGAATCTATAATTCCTGTCAGATGCTTACAGTATATATATGTTAATTTCTTTCGCATGCATATTTGATCCTCAACAATAATACAGGGGTTTTTTTTCATGTTATCTAGCATAACCATGCGGAAATTTGTTTTGTGTTGGTGCAGAAACAATTTCTTATGGCTGTCACTAAGTTTCACTCAGCGTGTATACATAAGGTCCAGGCAAACTAATTCTTCACCTCATTTCAAGCAATACGAGAAAATCACTTAGAATTGGTATGTGTATATATAACATAACTTGAGTCCCATAGGGCCTGTATCACTTACCTAGATCTTGAAGCACAGCAATGTTATACATGCCTATAGGTTGGTATTTCAAATGTTTCCACATTAATTTAAAGCTTAGTCACTTAACCTCATTGGTGGAGCAAGACCAATGGGTAAATTCTTATATCATGGCTGTCTTTCACTTTTAATGCCCAGTAAGAGTTGATATGGTTATCAGGTTCGTATTTCAACTATGTCACAGAAATAATGTGCCATACCCAAAGGTCAATACAATATATCTTGGTTAAAATGAGGTAGCAAATGAAATAATGAACATAATTATTTTGGTGAAATTTTTAAAGAGTACTTGTCAATAAGGAGTAAAGAATTGCTGATTGCTTGCACTAATCAAGCGTTATATGTCTATGAGTACAATGTATAAAACTATAATGCTTCTAAACATAATGATCCCTGACAAAAAATATAAACAACCAATGTTACAGACATAGGTAACAGGGATTTTTCCAGGATTTCTAGAAAGGGAGATCACTCTATGTCTCTATTGTAATGACTCATGGGACTGTAGGGAGGGCAGGGTTTTTTAAATCTTTTGTTTTTGGGTTACAAAGATGGGTGCAGGTATTGTATTTGCATACTACATCTATGGTAATTATTACTGAAATGAAAGTTATAAACACAGTTTACAGGGATTTTTCTAGGATTGTATCACACCTCTCAAACAGAATTATTGCTTTCTCCTCTAAATACATAATGACTTTTATAGCAAATTTCTAGGGTAAAATCTTTAATATGAATTCATTATATCACTACATCAGTAATACAGGTATACACACTGACTGTGACAAAGTAAGCTAATATACTGTATTGTTGTTTGATCTCCTAGAAAAGTCCCTGTGTTACAATAACCCTGAATACAAAACAAACACACATAACAAGTTTAACAAAATCAAGAACAAGATCAAACTGGTCTCATGCTCAAGTTCTTCGGGGAAATTGTCAGATTTATAAGAATTTGTTTCCCCATTGACTGTAATCAATATCTTACAGAGAAATTGAATAGAACCATCTGATCAATAAAATAACCAAATAAGTCCAGAGATTCACTCTCTCTTTTCTTCTTACTATTTCTTAATGATATTTTTATATTGTGTGTGTGAAAGTTCGGTATTTGCTGATTACAATACCTCCAAATAGAAATAAGCCTAAGGCTGAAGATAATGATTTCTCTAAAAGAAGATTCTCTATTTCAAGAATGTTTGATTTTTTTCCCCCAATGAGATGACCAATTTTTGTCTTAATGTTGAAGGCATTTTCTCTGCAGTAATCATGTTAGTTTATACAAATATCACTTGTAAAATTAAAAGTAAATAGTTTGGTATTGAAAAATATTATCAATTACATATATCTTATTTTTATATTTCATAAAATAGTGTTGTATTCATAACGAGTATATTCCAGGCACAAAGATTTGAACCTTCTTGAAAAAATATGAATACTTTCTATTTCAAAGACAAAGCATCGCCAATGTAATTAAGAATAGGATAATGCATCTGGTACCTTATGCCCCCTTTACTATTCATAGTAACAGTTAAATAAATTATTTTTCAATCGTCTTAATTTCTCAACAGATTTATATATATATCAATTAGTGTTAACAAATCAAACTAAAAATAATGGAATATGAAAGTGTATTTTACATTATCAAAATATGATCATCCTGAATGCACAATATGATTAATTTGACTTGCCAATCCACAAAATTTATTGTAAATTATTTTTTTTTTAATTTTCATGACAATTACATTAAAACATTTGGCAAGTCAGACAGAGACGAGAACAGCAAAATTTGGACAAATCAACACAGAGAAGTCTACATGCATTGTCACCTTTCTAGGTCTGACTTCCTGTAAGGGAGAGCAACAAGCCAACTTTAATTGTGGACACAAGTGAAAATAAAATAGGCTTTATGCATGTCATCAAATACAATATTAGCAAACTGTAACTCAGGGGAAGTAACTCAAGTGACTTCAAGGGAAGTAACTGAGGGGTCATATGAGACAGTTCCTACTGTCTCATAAACTTGATTCAAAATACTTAAATATCATATGATTAATACTTTATTTTTCTGATCATATGCTATTGTCAAGGAAAATCACTCAAGGAGTCCTGACATATTTGGTTGTTTCTACCAATGCTTCTATTGTCTTCATAAGTTTTTAACTTGAAAGTATAACTTTATAATCATTTTTCGTAAGTGTTTGAGTTATGAAAATAGGCTCTATTTCAATTCATATAAGATGATGGCGAGAATGTTTTAAAACATACAATGTATAAACATGAGATGAGGAAAGGTTGAAAATGCTTCAAAAAAAACATGAAATTTCATGGTGTCTTTTTCCCATTAAAAAGATGTAACCAAATGTTATGAAATGATATGAATGCCCCCACAGGTAAGCGAGGAGATATTTGTAACTCTCTTGTGTTATTGGCTTTGTTTAAAGGTGAATTCATTAATTATGAAACCAATACTTACTGAACAAATAAAAAAGTTACTAAAGTAGGATTGTGTCCTTAAGCTTCCAAATTCAACATCTACCAAATTTATAAATGTAATTGTAATAAATGTAAAAAAAAATGGAGTAGAATTTCTTAAACAAAGATATTTGTTTTACTGTAATTTTCATTCTTGTCCATCATATAATGTCTATACCGACTACACCAAGGACTGGGATAGGAGACACATCACTCACAACATTTAAAATACAGCAGAAACTCTTCAGACAGCATCTTATCTCAACAATTTCCATGCATAGCATTCCAAGTTTGATTAAGGACAACAATTAATATATATAAATCTGTTCAAACTGATATCTTTGTAGATTTATCAATGTTATGTTGTCTTTTGTGTCAAATCTTTTCAAAAATGAATTTTCTTATAAATACTTTATCATGAATTTCAATGTAAATAAATATATTCATGCATCCAAACTTGCATTTACTTTTCATATAGCTGTCCATGCCTACATAGACAGTCAAATGTTGAAAACAATGACCTTCACACTAGATTGACCTTTAACGTCAAAGTCCCAATCCGTAATTACTTATGTACCACAATGAACAAATCGGACACGAGAATACAAATAACAATACAGAAAACATACTTCACAAATTTAAATAATACCTGCACATAAGCTCCTGGAAACCATCCCACATCATCTCCATTGCAACCAAGCCACCATCCATTCTCAAGTGTGTCAAATACTAGAACTGTGTCACCAATATCAAACGAGAGATCCTGGTCATTCTCTGCTGCAAATGGGCACACTGCTATGTGTTCTGAAATAATAATATGTTCAATAAAGATTTGCACAACTTGTACACGTGTATAATCAATATTACATACAAGTATAGAAGAACTGAATGACTGTCACAAGATTCACACTACTTGGAAACTTGGAAACTTGAAAACTCCCATTGTCATACCCTTCCCACACTAGGGACATTTCTCCCACCACAGAATTGTATCTCCTACAAAACATCACAATGTTCAATCTTCACATTACAGTACTACAATCTAATATTATGCTTTATGAGCAGTACAACAGTTTTTCAACTTGTTAATTTGCTATTTTTGTATATGTTGAACTTGTGCAAAAATAAAAAAAAAAAAATTTGCATGCAAAAAAAATCATTCATAAACAAGATCTTTTTTAAAGTATCTATAATTCATATTTAAAGCACATAATGTGAAAATATTCATCTTATTTATTGATGTATTTCTAATATATTGACACAATGTAAATAAAGTTTATGATTGGAAAAAATCTGTTAATAGAAACATTGTTAGAATATTTCATGGGTGTTTTTGTAATAAAATTATGAAAAGTTCCCATTAAATATTCCATAGAAGAATGAATGAATTTATGTCATAAATTCAAACAGGCACAATTATGGACCATGACAAATCTAACATTTTCCAAGGATTTTGATAACAAGCTTTGGTTATCAAAATCCCAATGGCCACCTGACAACCATTTTGTTTTTTGTGGTTCATCACAAAATCAAAAGGGCACAACTAGTATAGGAACTGAGAGGAATATACATCAGAAATTAGAAAAAGATCTGTCCAGTATTTCTCTAAGAAATAGTAGTGGTAACAGACTTTTATTATCAAATTTCCAGATGCTGCCTGTCAGCCATTTTGTTTTTCATCTCAGTCCCAAAAGAAACAGTGGACTAAATATACTGACCAATACAGATGACCTCCTGGTCCTTGCTGTCGTTAACCAAAAGCTGCCTGTATACCTGTGTGTCCTCAACTATTCCTCTCATTGGAATGGCCACTTCCTACATACACAAAAATTGGTCAATATAATTGATATGCATTAAGATAAAGTTAATTTCATATTACACTCTCCATGCAGTGATTTAAGACATATTTGGAAGTTACTGTGATTACATAAATATATACACATATATATACACCTAACTACAAATCCATTATTAATCAGCTTTACAACTGATGGGAGGTTAGAAGCCCCTAGCAGATAAACTGCCTCTTACACCTACTATATAGAAAATTCTGGAACTCCATCAACTAGAAATCAAACCATGATTATTTAAAACAAATGCATGTTTCACAAGGAGATAAGCTGGGAATGAATCAAGTTGGTTTGATAAACGTGTAATCTCGGACATACACAGTTATCTAAACCTACATTTCATACACATATACCAGAAAAGACAGATTCAGCCATTGAAAATTGACTGTAAAAAGTTAATAAATGTAAATTTTAATATGAAATGAAACTTTAATAACAGAAATGGTAAAGGAGACTTCTTCAAATCTTCAAATATTTGGTTTAAAATCTTCAAATATTTAGATTTTCCTGAACGTGATACTATTTCAGTTGTATATCAACAAAGATAAATAAATTCAAATTTTCACAAATTTATAATAGTAGTATTTTAACTACTTACATTTAATTCCTGTACATAGACAGCAGGGAACCATCCTGTTTCTCCTGTACATTCACGCTGACCCTTCATCCAGCCATTCTTGTCCTTTTCGATTCCCTTGATTATCTCCCCTTCCTGTAGACTGATCTCTGACTTGAAGTTGGCAGTGTATGGATAAAGGGCTTGGTATCTTTTGCCTGTTGAGAACAGACAGTAAAATGTATATATTTGTATGCCTGTATCTCTGTATATCTGACATAAAGATCAGCTCTTTAATTCTAACTACAATCTTACACAGATAATATTATCAATGGTGTTACTGTACTTATCTCACAACCAGCCCATGCTAGCTTACCTACAATAACTACTGAAATAAAAATAATACCCACAAAAAATGCTTTTGGACTACATTTAATTGTACTTTAAAAGTCCTTGACCCCTCCAGAGATTATCTGCAGGTTCCCTGAGGTTACTGGATGATACCTAACATCATAGCTCACACGTATATATTGTACATAGTATACACTGTCTACATAATATCAAGATATTAAGATTATAACACCAAGGTTTGGCTACTAGATGTGGCTATCTCAGTTAAAAATAAGTACCAGATTACCAGGTCTATAAAGATATTTTAAGAAAAGACAAAAAAATTATATTTAAATCAATCAATGGTATTTGAATAAATGAAAATTATTTTTTCCTCAAATTTTTATGCAATTACTCGGTAAAGCTAAAATATTTGTTGTTATAATCTAAGCTGTTGTTTAAATGGTGTAATTTTCCTCCAAACCTAAACATTTACCTGCAGCAGCATATAGAATGGGGTCGCGGATGTGATTGGCTGAGCTGCCATCTACAACATTATCTTCCTTTTTCTCCAGCTGAGGAACACGTGGGGTTGACACTTCTTTACCCAAAGCCTGTTAAACATCAGAGAATACTTAAACACTACTTACTCTACAATAAAACAATAAACAACAAAACAATATAAACAACAACACTGTTTACAAAGAGTATAAATATGCTATCTAAAAAGAGGTTATAACATAATAGGACAGAATATCAAGATAATCTATCAATATGGTTTTATTTTCTCAAGATATAATTTGTGAAATAGTTTGAAGGTCTTGACACTAAAATTGCATGTTAAACTAACCCAGGAGTCCCTTTTTGGGGTGAGCTGCCTCATGGGGCTGTAACGGTCAGAATGACTCCGAGGAAGGTGCATTGACCTTGGTCGCTGGTCCTTACTCAGCAGAAATGAACTGACCCTGGGCTTTTGATTCTCTGATTCAAGCTCATCCACTCCATCTTTTTTATCATCTGTGAAGAAATCAAACAATGTTTACCAAATATATATGTATAATTTTAGTTGCTGAAAAATTAGAAATAATTTCATTAATGCCTATTTTTCATTTTTTACTCTCTCTTCTGACCCTACTGTTGTCAACATACTTTTATCCACCTACATAGATGACCTTTACCCCCTATCCACTCAATTCTCCACTTGCAAAGACTTAGATACCATTACCTCTAACCATTCTATATCTCCTTACCCAAATTTACATCCTTTTTTGGCCAACCTCTACCCTCTCATTCATAGAGTACCCCTCCCTCCTCCACCTCAACGCTCCTTTCTCATCTCTATACCCCGTATTCTTCCCCATCCCACTCCTCTGCCTAATACATATATACTCTTTCAGCCCTATAATCCTTCTTTATATCATTGCTCTTTCCTAATCCCTTTGTCTATGCAACTTCCCTCCCTTACCCACTGCCACCTTGTTACCTACCCCCATCAGTTATGGACTTGTGCTGTACAGCCTTGACAAAGCTGCCTGGAAACCATCCCTCCCTGCCGTCCAGTGTGCCTTTCCACCATCCGTCATTTGTCTTTTCAAGGACAGTAATTGTGTCTCCTTTCCTAAAGGCCAGTTGTCCCTCTTGTGTGACATCATAGGAGTGTAATGCTTTGTAATGGACCTCATCAGAGCTACATTCTGTCAAATACAGAGTAAAATTCAAAGAACCATAGGATGGTATGCCTTTGTATTATTTTTTGTGTTATACAAAAAAAAATATCATGATAAAAAGATATATTTCCAAACATGAACAAAACGGAAAATAATGAAAAGTTGAAAAATGTCAAAATGACACACATTTTCTTACATAACTGGAGCTTTATCTCTGTAAGGAAGACACCAATTAGACAGCACATTGATTCAGAAAAGCCAGTGTTATAATATATGAACCTGGAAAGTGAATTTAATCTGCAAAAATGTCATATTTGACTCCACAATGAACGAATCAATATCCCACTTCAACACAAGTATAAATCATATAACCAATTTTCGCATACACAGTGGTATTGAAAGGTATAACAGATAAAGCCAATGCTGTGGTTTATCTCGGGGAAGATTGTGGTGTCCTATACTCTTCGGCTGGATTCCTTAAGGTATGCCTGGCAGATGTGTCATAGCGATAATCAATCCAGGGTAAAACAGCCCCAACAGCTTCTAAGTTTGAGTTCTTAATTCGAGTTCTGTTGTATCATACCAGTGTAATAAATTAAAGAACCAAATCTCAGAATCTGTTGTCGTTATCTTACTCTGTAATTTTAAAAATTTGTGTAACCGAAAGAAAAACATGACTGCCAAATTGATGCCCAGGATGTCTCGCACTAAATATCCCCTTATGGTCAAAAACTAAAAACAAGTTATTCTGGACAATTTAGTAGCAGTTTTGAAAGGAGCAAGTTTCAGAAAAACAGATAACAAATGCCACCCCATTGCATGTTGAAATAACCAGTTCTTCTGACAAGATGAGATAATATATAATAAGGTATCGTATGTATCAAGGACACACATATATACCATTCAAGTTTCCAAGAAATGGCAACAATGTTATTATGATGTCATTATCACTTGTACAGGGTGAAGGTCACAAAAACTACTGTTAAATGAAATAATGATGAACAAAAGTGACTGTGATTGATTCAACATCTATTCCTTAAGATAACCTGGTATATGTGAAATATAACATATTTATCCAGCATATAGAGCCCAAGGGGCCTTGTAATATTTGACTTCAGGGACTGCAACAACAAAATAACATTAGTAAATGTAATAACTGGGCATAGTGAAAGGAATCACTTTTGTTTTTCGTATTTTACATTTCGATGATTTTAGTGTACACATCACTCTTCAATCCATGCAGTTATATAGTTAAGTTTTCATCAAGATACATCAATTATGTTCAAAAGAGTAATGGTATATATTTAATTCATTTGTCCTGCAAGAAGTTATGGATTCCAACATGAAACCTCCACCTCCAAGTCAAGGAGGGGCTTTGAAGTTTTAACGAGGCATGGACTCTTTAATATCAAACATAGGCTTACAATTGCTTCTTGACAAGAAATTGTTATAGTCTGAAATTATATCTTAAATCGTTGACATGAACCAAAAAGCAACATTTCTCTGAAACATAACAGGTTTTGTGTTCAAACCAGCTGATGAGGTGAATACAAAGGAATGGGAACGAGGTCCACGGGCCTTAATGATCGTCTGACTACAAAAACTTTCAGCATGGACAAGGGTAAATTTTCTACTTTGAATGAAATCTAACTAAGCAACTGTTTTCCATGATGCGGATGGTAGTTTTGGTGAGGAGTAGGAAAGAGTAACAAGAAGTTTAGAATATGTTTTTCAAGATGGTGGTCATCTTGGATTTCAGACATAACTGTAAATTAACAACACGGTCAATACCATATCAGGATCATTTCAAGCAAGTTGAAGATCAATCCCATCAGTGAAACTTTAGAAGAAGTTTGAAATAGGTGTTACACAGGAAAACCCATGATTGCGCTATCATATTACAAAATGGCCTCCCTGGCTGCCGCATCAAAATTTTGACATGGTCGAAAAAAAACATCACTTTGTTGGCTACCTTTCCTTAACACTCCAACCAACTTTAAGCTCGATGACACTAGTGGAACTGGAGAGGAAGTTTAAAATATGTTTTTCAAGTTGGTGGCCATGGTTGCCATCTTGGATTTCAGACACACCCTGAAAAATAACAGCACTTGGTCACCAACCTCAGGATCATTTCATGCAAGTTTGAGCTTAATCCCACTGTTGGAACTTGAGAAGAAGTTTGAAATGTCAAAAGTTTACACACAGCGCACAGCCTAAGGCAGATGACGACTGACGAAGCACAATGGCTATGACCTGAAGGGTCATGATGACCTTAAAAATATATAACCAAGGAATGTATCAGGTTATTTATAGGTATGATGTATAAACATTCCTATGCATTAACAAACACTAACTACTTCTCCTAACCTCAAATCATCAACACATATTTCTATGCAAGAGTTTTACATATTGAAACTTTTTCTAACTGCTCTCTGATTCTGGTGGACAGACAGTACTTTTTCTTTTACAAAATAACAAACAGAAGAGTCAAGGAATGAATTAAGGACTAAACACAAAGGAGAGGTTATATCATAGAATAAAGAAATCAGAAAATGCATAACTGATACCACCACCAAAGAGAAAACTAGCTATGTAGCACACACAACTAAATGTCTAATGGTTTTTAATAATAAACACAAATATCTAGACAGGATTATTAATCTATACAGGTAACACAGGTGGTTAGATACACAAATATCACACAGACTCAATGCATCATGGTCAACAATTTGATGGAAAAGTAGTAAAATGCTTTAATAAGATATAAATTAAAGTACATTTTTTTTTACTGAAGCTCTATGAGATATCATGTACATAAATTTTTTTATTTCAAATATGGCAAACATTGACCTTTGGCCTTTAACTTTGACTGATGACCACCAAAATCTAAAGTGGTGTAGACCATAGTTGGGTCATGTTATGGCATGAATATGGACTAAATATGTCCATAGGTTCATGAGATATCTTATACACTAGGTTATCACCGGCACATAGACAAAAATATATACTGATACTACCCTAACCCATGAAGGGGGGTATAATATATACAGAACCCAATATAAAATTTTTGAATTAGACATTATTACAGATACATATACATTCAAACCAAACAAAATCTTTACCTTATTAGGTTTTGGTTTGCTAATCAAAGGATTTGAATAACTTTGCCATTAAGGAAAACCTTTTACAATAGATACAAACATGGCAAAATTCTTTGGAATTTGTTTAGTTTAAAATTTACTCCCATAATACTGTAGTGATACACTAACTAAGAAAAATTGCTTCGACGCTGTTTATATCATGAACACTTTTCCTGTGATGATTTGAGTCTGTATTTAAATGGACACAAACAGAAACTACATCAAAGTACAATATGCAGATGAGCTAACGATGGTGTGACCAATACCTCTCTTATGGACGGCGGGACCTTTGCGCCGTTTGGGTTTAATGACTGAAAATGTAATATGAGCAAGACATGGAAATGACACCATGAACATAAACAACCAAGATGGCAGAACATCGTAAATACTGGCACTATGTGTGTTATAAGTGTGTGATAGATGTATGCACAGATGAAAACATGGATGATAATACTATTATAATGATAAACAAATACTTTGACAAAATAATTAAATACCAGGTCAGCTGTTTGAGCGGACAGAAAAATAATTCAATAATTTTTTTAATTCTACACAAACTTTGGCAGAGCAGATATGATCTGAATAATTTCATAGTTCTCTATTGTACCATGGATTAATTTTTGGGAAAATCCAAGAGGGTTTCTTTCTCCTTTGTTATGTCTTTTTGTTACAAAGTCATTGACCTCTCGATCACAGGACTGACCTTAATACAAACACTGACAATTCTTATCAACAGTATGACTCTAATATGTCCATTGACCTTTCTGGTCATCTGATTGGCCAAAGCCCCACTAATTACCTTTCTGGCCATTTGACAGACTTTTCCTGTAGTCCGTGAGTATTGTCTCAGTGATAGATTCAAACCCTGGGAGAGGATCTGCTGTTGAGGCTACACCCATGTCAGATGTTGCAGTGGTGCTCACCCATAGGTCATGGGTTCGAATCTCCTCCTTGTTGTTCTGAAATACAGTTAATATCACATTTAAAAGTAATAGGTATATTTGAATTAATTAATTGCTGGAAATGCGTGAACCACTAGGAGAGGATCTGCTGTTGATGCTACACCCATGCCAGATGTTGCAATGGTGCTTACTCATAGGTCATGGGTTCAAATCTCCTCTTTGTTGTTCTGAAATAAAATGACCCATTCAATGTAATAAGTAATTAACACTACCCCTAATTGTGATGATAACATCATCATACTGGTGTCTCAAAGGCTCATCACTACCATCATTTCAAGAAATGAGACAAAAGTCAAAACCCTGCAGCCTGAAAACCAATGTTTTTTTAAAAGAAATACCTATAGTCTTACTCATTGCACTGAAAGCTACTGCATTCTTCTACACCAATTGATGCCAATGTTTTAATTCCTTTAAGATATTTTAGCATATTATGATCTGTCAGAAGCCCTTGACTAATTAGAATGGTCTTTAACATACCAAGTGATGTAATATTATATCTATAACTGAAACATGTATCTAACTAAAGTGACCAAAAATCACATGATCATCCATGGTTCCTAAACACATTATCATCAATGGTTCTGAAGGATTAATCATGTGATCATCAATGGTTCTGAAGGATTTATTACATGATCATCCCTGGTACCTAAACACATTATCATCCATAGTTCTGAAGGATTAATCACATGATCATCCCTGGTACCTAAACACATTATCATGCATAGTTCTGAAGGATTAATCACATGATCAACCCTGGTAGCTAAACACATTATCATCAATGGTTCTGAAGGATTAATCACATGATCACTTATGGTTCCTAATCACATGATCACAATGGTTCTGAAACAATAATCACATGAGAGGACTTAGATAGGCTAAACCTGTTGTCTAATTCCAATGACTAATTTTATAGTTAACAAAATCGATTAAAACTGAAACTGAAATGAATCAAATGATTGTCAGCTGATCTGAAAGAATATAATCACATAGTCAACAATACATGGTTCTAAAAAGGTTATAATCACATGATCTTCATCGGTTCTCAAAAATTATAATCACAATTTGAAATTTCTTTGAAAATGTAAGTTACATACATGTACCTTGGAGGGTTTCTTCCGTAAGCAGCAGAAAATGGCAAAGGTGATGAAGAACAGCACAATTCCAACCCCACATAATGACACGCCCAGGATAAACGGTAGACTCTCACTCAGTGCTAGATTCAGGAAATATAAACAAATCCTTAGAAGTCTCCCCAAACTCTCAAAGTAATTTGTTGTGTCCTCTGAAAACTTCTCAAGGCCAGTACACCAAGATTCAGCCATTGATCTTCATCAAAAGATGTCTTTCATTTGAATACTCATCTAAACTAAATTTAACTTTAGAACTGATGAAATATTGACAACACACAAAAGGAATTCATCCTGTTCATCGGAAAATCTAGCTTTGTCATGTTGAACTTCTGGTGTCACGTCACAGGCGTGAGACCATCACTTTCCCATAACAAACAACCAATCCTGAATAAGCTTACATTATGAAGAACACGTAACTGCAGTATTAAAAGGGTTATTCTGAAAATAGATATATAGATTACATTCACTTCCAACGTAAACAGAGTGTTTTCACATTTTATGTGAACTAAGGGCCGTTTCCTGTCAAAAACTCAAGACAAGTATAAATAGGCATATAGCCAAAATAGCACTAGCTAGAAATCGTTTTACATATTGATGTACTGGTCACCTATACTTTACTAAAAATAGTACAGGATGTTGCTACTCTTAGAACTGCTGATAGTTTCAATTACATCTTTAGTGTTTACATTGCTACATAGTAAACTAGAACCTTCAGTATATTTTCTGGTAACAAATAAAAAGTTGATCTATATCACCAAAGGAGTAATTTAAAAACCTTTACATTATGTGTATCTATATTTCTTTTTTAATTTGATTTTGAGCATGAAGTGGATGTTACTGAAGAGTTCTAATGTGTATACATGTTATTGTTACATAACAGTGCCAAATTTGTAGGTTTGCAGCCTTTCAGAATTACATACAGTAAAACTTGACATTTCACAAATCCGTTTCAACATATTTCGCATTTCACAAAATCTTTAAAAATCCCCTACCAAGCCTCCTTGACCCTTCGAAATCTAAACTGGCTTTTATGAATTTATGAAGTTGCAAAGCACCGATTTTTCCTGTTCTGGGGATCCCCATAGGATAATATACCCATGTATATGAACTTCAGTAACTAGCAAAACTCACTGGTTTGATGTTAATATTGTAACAAAGATCAATATCTATTTCAATGCCTCTGCTAGGATTTGAACTTGGGACCTCTGGCTTACTAGTCTGCTGCACAACCAATTCAGGTAAAGAGAAGCCCTGTCTAGCGGAGCAGTAGATTGCCGCTAGTATCTTACCATGCAGGGTCACAACCTCTTCCTGTATGATAAAACATGTCACTATCAATGTATTTCTCATAATGAGGTTGAGCATCAGACTAATAAGCCAGGGATCCCAGGTTCGATTCCTAGTGAAGATAGTGACATAGATAATTAGCTATGTTAAATTGACACCCATGTAGGGACAGGGGAATAACAATTAGCATTAGTTTCACAAGTACTGCTGTGACCTCTGGACACTCAAGAGGTGTTATTTCCTAGAGGGGGGGTATGTAACCTTGATAAAATACCAGCTCTGAAATACCGTCCGGCTAGAGAGATCTCTTTAGCTCGATCAGATTAGTGTCAGACTAGCAAGCCAGGGTCCTGGGTTCGACTCCTAAAGGAGGTATTGAAATAAATAATGACCTCTCTTAAATTGACGCCCATATAGGGACTCAGGAATAATACTTAGCACTACTTTCACAAGTACCGCTGTGACCCCTGGACACTCAAGACCAGTTATTTCCTAGAGAGGGAGTATGCAACCCTGGTCAAATGCTAGCTGAAAGTTTTGTTCGGCTAGAGAGAACTTCTCTTTTTCTCGGTTGGATTAGTGTCAGACTAGTAAGCTAGGGTCCTGAGTTTGATTCCTAGCGGAGGAATTGAAATAAATAATAACCACTGTTATATAGATATATTTTAGAACCTAGATGAACTTTTCCTTACTTGCACTAAATGGACATTTGTTCTTGTTTTTAGTTATTTAACATACGTATGACATACATACGTTTTAGATAGTGTAACCAGTGTTCAGAACATTCACTCATATGAAACCATAGATTTTCTGCTAGTTGATGTAATCAGGTTTTCCAGAAGTTTGAGATGGTTTTATATTACTGCAATATGTACCAATCTCACTATTACAAGCTTCGTACATATTAACCTAACTCCTGAAAACCTTTTTCAATGAAGATGATACTATTCTGAAAGATTCTATTTATGAAACTTGAAAATGTTATAATCTTAAAAAGTTATACCCGTGGATTCTTAACACAGTAAAATGTATTACCTCTTTATTTCATACTACTAATAAAAAATCATGACCCTCTAGATCTCTGGGGACCTTCTGGGTCAAGGTCTATCAATTAAGATCCACCTATATTTAGACAGCTTAAGGGGCTTTTTCTCACAACATGCTATTGGACAATTTCTATATCGTTACGATTTCCTGGTCACATCTGATCCACTACATTCAACTTACAATACAGCTAAACATGAATCATATATTACAAATCTCTAAAAAAGAATCCATATGATAACTTTAATATGTGACTCCTGACCTTGAAAGATGTGTCAAGGTTATTCATTAGAAAAAAGGTTAACATTCCCCATCGCGGCAAGCTACTGGCCAAATTTTATAGCCCTTGGCCAGTTCGTTGATAAGAGGACACCACTTCAACAAGATGATGCTGCACATACCCACAAGATTATGATCAATTCACTTATCCCAACATAAAAATGAAGTGTTACCTATGTGGCAATTATTCACAAGGCCTTATCAGACTGACAACAGCAATGGCTTCCGGCTCAATACAATACATTTAACATTTCCTGTTTAAAGTGTGACATTCAAGTGATTCAATATGCATGGCTAACAAAACCAGGAAAATATTCCTGTACATTGTTGATGTAAGAGTATTTGTGCAGTAATGAATTTGCCTTGCGACCTTGATGGATTTTAACATAAAATGATTTTCAACTATATTTCCCTGTAATTGACTGTAACCTACCTGTAGCAGCTGTGGGCGGCACACTAGGTGCTATACTTGAAGTTGGCCCCAGTGGTGGAAGCATAGATGTTGTCCTTAGGCTCTTGTTAGGGATGTACATTGGAGTAGCCTTGGACCCAGTCGGTATCACAGTCTTGCTTGGGGTTACTGGGGACAGTGGGGTCATAGGGGACAGGGGTTGCACCATTTTGGGGGTGGAGGTGGGAGTCAGTCCTGCACCCATAGGTTTTGTGGGGGTAATGGGGGCAGATGACTGACCAGACCCTTTGTTTTGGGAATTCAAGACAGTTCCATCACTAGTAAGTTGCTCCAGTGTACTACTGGATTTGAGTATCGGATCTGTTGATGATGCTGGTCCAGTTACTACAACGGGCAAAGTCGCAGACACTGAGTTAGAGTTTTTTGATAAGTCAGGGGAATAAGATGATGTCAATGACACTGACAACTCTGCACTTCGCTTCTGGACACTAGTCAAATGATTTGACACTGAAACGTCTAAGCTTGAAGATTCCTTGAATATTGGCAATGACAGTGAAGAAGATTTTAACAATGACACAACATCTGATGAAAGTTTAGATGAAGGCACTATTGCCTGAATTTGTCTCATAGCACTTGTGCCTTGGCTTGGAGTTTTGGAAATTTTGGCAGAAGATGATACTGCAATGTATTTTGTTGGAGAAGGTGTCACTTGAGAAGATTTCTTTGGTAAACCAGACAGCTTTTGTGAGGTGGCTGCCATATCTGTTTTCAATGAAGCATCAGGAAAACTTGTGTGGTGGTTGGTAGAAGATGAGGGCAAGGAAATAAATCCAGTGGTTGTACTCTGAAGAGACAGGTCTTGTGTTCCAGTGATCCTATCATAACTACTCTGTAACAAGGGAAGGGATGAAAATGAATGAGGGGTAGACAACTCTTTCATGGACTGGGACTTTGGAGTTTCTGTTGTAGTCAGTCCTTTTCCAGAAGATTTGTCATTAATCACAGAATTTGTACTCATATCCATCACTTTGGTGATGTCTGTCGATGACAGAATCGCCATTTTTGTTGCACTCACATTCATTTTGGTCCCTGTACTTTGCTGTCTTGAACAAGGCAATAGGGATATTAAATTCCTTGCATTGCAGTTGAATTACACCGACTCAGTACACACAACATGTAAACAGTATACATGTAGATTTAAAGCCTACACATGCCACAGCACTTCATCACATTCACCAGTAGACTCCGTCAGAATCCCACAATGCACACTCCTGGTTAGGAAGTAACAACTTAATCTTTGGTTCTACACTCATCTTAATATACTCCCTGAATATATCACAAACACTTGGTTTTCACTCCAATATGAATTTCCGTAATGACAATCAATGTAATCAATCTGAAATAAGAAAAATTATGAAATTTAACACTTCACAATATCAGTTAGTATTTCCTTGTTCTGAAGTTACAAGCAACATCAGCATGAATCTTGTAATTATCCATTCATTTTCCTTATATATTCAGAACATAAGAGGAAATATCCAAAATATATACAGGATGATTATCCGCACAGATTTAACACGGATGAGTGACTGTTTAAGTACTACCTACACCTCACTATATATTAATCCTCCGTAACAAACAATGACCGATACAGGAGCTGACCACTGAAGATTTTCACTAAGGTTGGTCATCAGTCACCCACTGATTTACAAGTCGGTCACGTGTATTTATAAGTATTTATAATCCAACATTCCAGATACAAGATGCGGATGAGATGTCGGCGTCTACAACATAAAAAAAAAATCATATTAAGAATTTTTGATGTTATATCCTCACCGTAACAAATCCAGGTGCAATGCACTTAAAATAAAAAAGTTGAATGAAATCCTTTATCAACAAAGTTGAATTTCAGTACATCAGTATTCCCAACACATGGTAACTATTAACATGCCACAATTTTCTTTATAAACCATGCAACAAATATTTTTAATAAAAAGTAAATTTTAAATAAAAATCATGTTGCTGAAACATCTAATGGAGGATAAAAACTTACAGTCACTGAAATGGTAGACCTTGAATAGTACAGTTTGTCCAGTGAGAAAAAGTTCACTATCTGTGACTTGACAGACGGACAGACAGTTCCTTGGTTATGTCTGTCCTTACGGGTGTACTAGTCCTCAAACATTCTGGCAGAGCATCACAAGTAAACAAATGAATGTATGAAGGCTGGTCCAGACAAAGAACATCCGTGCTGGGACTTCCGCCACTACAATCCACACAAACTCATGCCATGATTCAGTTCCTGTGAAAACACAGAAAAAAAACACATAATGTCAGTGTGTGTGTGTGTGTGTGTGTGTATGGAAGGCACATCATCATCACAGAAAGGCACTTCCAACATAGGCTAATTAATATAACGTCTGTATATCCCCAGTTCTAATGCAAGCCAAATCATTTCTTCCTCAATGAGAAAATAAATACCTATGATATCAAATGTCATTGTGCTATCTAGTACAAATGATCATAGAGGGCTCCACAGTAGTATCTATAATGGCTGTCAGGATTATATATAAAAAGTAACCATTAGTCAATGCAACAGTAAACTTACTCTTGAGAAAAACTTTTACTGTCAATGATAACAGATTAAGTACCAATAAGATCTGCTAGTTGTAGGATGAGAGGAAGGATACAAAGTCATACTGAGGAAATGTTGCTCTCTCAGAGAGGACAGGACTCTGTGCACCAGTTATCTATTGTCTGTTCTTGTAGTGTAAATAAATATGCCTGTTCTCCAATAACTCAGTGATAGTGGTAGGCTATATGAGAAGATATTACAAACTCCTGGAACAAAGTTTTTTAAAATTAAAATCACTGGAGTAAAATGCAAACTTTATGAACCTTATAACAACATCCAATAATCCTGTGACAACACCAAATAACCCTGTGACAACACCAAATAACCCTGTGGCAACACCAAATAACCCTGTGACAACACCCAATAACCCTGTGACAACACCACATAACCCTGTGACAACACCAAATAACCCTGTGATAACACCAAAAACCCTGTGACAACACCAAATAAAACTGTGACAACACCAAACAAATAACCCTGTGACAACACCCAATAACCCTGTGACAACACCACATAACCCTGTGACAACACCAAATAACCCTGTGATAACACCAAAAACCCTGTGACAACACCAAATAACCCTGTGACAACACCAAATAAAACTGTGACAACAACCCTGTGACAACACCAAATAACCCTGTGATAACACCAAAAACCCTGTGACAACACCAAATAACCCTGTGACAACACCAAATAAAACTGTGACAACACCAAATAACCCTGTGACAACACCCAATAACCCTGTGACAACACCACATAACCCTGTGACAACACCAAATAACTCTTTGACAACACCCAATAACCCTGTGACAACACCACATAACCCTGTGACAACACCAAATAACCCTGTGATAACACCAAATAACCCTGTGATAACACCAAATAACCATGTAACACCCAAACCAATTTGCACAATTAAGTTGTTGAAATATTAGATATTAACATTTTTCTGTGATCATATAACTTACCAATATGAAAAATGTGTCCTCAAAGATAAACGATATACAAGATTATAATAAATTCACTGTGGTAATCATACTCTGAGTATGAAAGATGTTTTCAATTCATAGACTATGATTTTTTACTTTCTGGAAAACAGATCTGTTAGTCAGTAATTTCTTACAAACTTGTCGAAAAAAGCCCATGAAAGACATCCACATATGTTAAATATATATCATTCTGTCTTAGAACTGGGGTTAATATAGGGAACTGGAACAATCTAACAGGTTTTGTCTGTGGTAAAACGTTGATGTACAGAGGAATACTAAATAGACAGCATCAGTAACCTGAATTGTGTGAATTGTTGATCCTGATTCTTAATCAAATGTACGGAAAACACACACCAATGCCTGAGCTTCTAAATTCAGACAATATATATATGATATATGTGTTTCATTAAAACACACTGATGTTTAAAATTCTTAATTCGGGTAAAAATACATATGTCTAGCTACATATATATATATATATATATAGACTCAATCACTGCTCAATATAACAATTTTAAAAAAAATTGAGCTTTATAATTTTGGTCTCATGAATAAGGGGAGGTAATTATACATGTAAACTAGTGTGAGAATTTAGCTGGGCAGATATATACTAAATCTTCTGGGTTAGTAGCCAGTATAATATGTACAATCTGTAGTGGCCTTGGAGAATTAATAGTGGGACAGGATATTAAATGCTTGGATAACTTGTTCAAAGTTCAAGAGTAGATCATACCTAGAATCCTGTTGTCTAACTAAAACTATATCTTTCCAAATTATTAGTTACTTCAAAATTTAAAAAAATTGATCTTATTTATTCTACTCCAGGTCAAAAGGAATACCCCTGGATCCTTAACACCAACTCTATGTCCTCTTCATTAATCTTCATTAATTTGAAAATCCAATAATTAATATCCTCTTGTTATAGAAAGTTTATATATTCTTCAATCAATCTCATCTGATTCTGATCAAGTTAAACATTGCATTTAATTTAAACCTTTAAACAGTGAGGATGTTTACTGAAATCTCAAAACAAAGGCTTCAATACCAAAATTATACTTAATACATAAAATTGAAAATGTCAATACATGAAAATACAAACTTAACATATTTAAGATTTGTTAATTCAAAGATATACGACTTTTAACAGTTAATTCTGGTGGTCTTTGAAGATCAAATTCCTGTATCAACAGAACTGCATTCTTTCACATCTAAAGAACATTAGACAGATCTTAAAAGAAATTTTAGAGTAGGATTGAGTAGGAGGTGACTTCTCAGAGCAAAACCACCAATATTAATCATCTGTGTAAAATTTTGGAACATTTTCAGCCTATTAATTAAAGCCACATCAAGTGTTTTACCCTCACTGATGGAAGTCAGTTGGCTTATCAAAACCTCATTAAATGGTCATTAAGGCACTTTTTTTTCTATTGCAATTTACATTTACATGTACATAGTACAAGAATTTTTCGGAAGTACACCTGCAGGGTACTTAGTAAGGTAAAGGGGAGGGGAGAGGGGGGAGGGGGGAAATCTGTGAAATATAACGCTAAATGGTTGCATATAATTACTCTAATCTTCATAAAGGATATTAAAATATGTTTTGCATGTTCTTTGATCAGATCAGAGCACTTTTACATATACTGTGTTTGTTGTAGATTGTTTGATGTTTGTTGGAGGGTGAGACAACATATGACTTTAAAACAAAATTTTAGATTCTTGCCATCAACTGTTGTAAGATGTCTCTAGCCATTAGCCAATATATGTGTTAAATTATCTCCATATCACAACATCATTCTAATCAATTATTGAAGACGCAATACAGTGTATAACCTTGAAGACACCAGACAATGGGGATTCAGGAAGACATTGTCTTAACTTAATTTTACACCATTAAATATCTCATAAACAATGGTTTGTTTTCACTTTGTCTCAGACCTCATGAAAACAAGTGAAAGTAAAATATAATATATAGTCACTAGATTCTGAAGGGGACACTTTAAAATGTAAGAGATTGTTAATAGTATAAAATAACAAAAAATTAACATT